CTAAGGTCTTCAATGCGAAAAGAGGTGCATATCTAATTATATTAGTGATTTATATATTTTAATAAATTAACTATGTTGGACATATTTTATTAATTATCAAATAAATACAGCTGTTTTTCTATTGACCACCATAAAGCAATTAAGGCCTCAATGGGAATGATTTATTTTATTAATTATCAAATAAATACAATTGTTTTTCTATTGACTATCATCATAAAGCAATTAAGGCAGTCGACTGAGGCCTCTAATGAGAAAAGTTTCCTAATCTCATCATATTATTTATATATTTTTTTAATGAATTAATTATACTTAGTTTATTTTATTAATAACCAATTAAATAAATACAAATGTTTTTATATTGACCACCATAAAGCAATTAAGGCAGTTGTGAGTCATCTAAGGCCTCCAATGGAGAAGAGACCCCTTATTTCATTATATTATTTATATATATTTTTTGATGAATTACTTATACTTAGTGTATTTTATTAATTACCAAATAAATAGAAGTTTTCTTTAATCAAAAAGTAGTTTTATCTTATTTTTACTTATTTTTTCTCTTAACAATTTTGCACCTTTTGGACTTATTTTGATTTTTAAATTCTCTTTCAAAATTATATTATTATTATTATTATTTATTAGGCAAAATTACAAAAAACTCCTTGAACTACTGATTAGTTGTAAGATGATTTCCAAAAAGTATTATGGGTATTGTATATTTATAATATTTTATAAATTTTTTATAAATTAATAAGTGAAAGTATTTTGATAATTTTAACCTTCTAATCGTTGAAAAATGTGGTTAAGTGGACTGTTTTTACAACGTTGGTATAAATGAGAGTTGGAATTTGTTTTTCCCAGGACGCGTTTGGCGACGGTGACAACGCGCTTTGACGAAGTATCGCTGTCCATCTTTTGTTTTATTTACCGCACAACGTGCGCACCATACGTTACTTTTCGTTTACTTTACTTACTCAAAAAAAGAAAAAAAAAAAATGTACCTTATAATTCACCCGACACTCACAGCCCGCGGGCGAGTGAGGTTTCTATATATATAAAATGCATTAAAAATCCAACTAGGCACGTGGCATCTACCTGGCACATATGTGGACCCCACTTGTAATTTGTTTTGCTTCGCTCTCGAGAGGATATGGACTCGCGAGATGGTAAAAAAAAGACGTAATGGAACTGGCAAGTGATCCATTGTGAGGTGAGTTCTGCTGTATGCGAGACCACTTTAAGTAGGTGGTCTAACCAATGAAAGTGTTGTTTGTTTAGAACTATAATGCTTTGTACTTTGGGCAAAAAATTTCAGCCACGTGGGAGGATCTCAATGAGCAGAGCAGTCAATTACGGTGGTCTGTCTGTGGCATAGATGATTGTTACTCCATCTAATTAAGAAAGTAATGTGACGCAACATGACGAGGACGCTTCACACTGCACCCACTTTTATAAAAGGATACAAAAGTACGCGATTGAAGTCCACGCACACGAGTTTATTTGGTCATTTGAGTTAATGCGATTTTATCAAGTACAGAATATAATTAAGATTTAAAAAGGATGTATTAAGACATGTGTTGTATATATGTGTGTGTATATACATATATACCTTATTATCTTCTTGTTTTTTGGGCAAAGTATAACAACACTCCTGAGTTTTACAAAAAAAAAACAAAGAAGAACATTTACATGAAAGTTTGTTTGGGACAATGACACCCCCTTAAATTTGATACAGATACCAAAGGCATCATAATGATAATAAATTGATATTTTTACCTTTTAATTTTTATATAGACCAATTTGAATATTGAAATGACCTTTCTACCCTCGTACCAAAAACCATTTCTCTCCCCCTCTCTCTGTTCTCTCTCTTTCTCCGCCCTAACACCAAAACACACACACATATATACACACACACACTGTCACACATACTGTCACACACACACACACACATATATATACACACCCACACACACACATATATATTGTATAGATACATATATATATACACACACAAGGCGGCGACGACGGCGGCGAACTGCCTTTCCTCCACCGTCGGCGTCATCGTCGTCCTCCGCCTCTACAACGACTGGCGCCAACTCTAGATCCGCGGCCTGCCTTTGTTGGGTTCATCAAAAACCAACTTTTTCTTCAATGTAATTCAAAATTTTCCCATTTTTAGCATAACCCAATTCCCCAAATCCAAGTTTGGCAGTGAATCAAAGATAATTCCCCAAATCCAAGTTTGGCAGTGAATCAGCGATGGGTTATGTTCAATTTTATCCAAAATTTCCCAGTTTTAACGAAAACCCAGTAACCTGTTAATATGGTTTCTTTTCACTCCTCAAATCTAGAGAGAGAAAATTTAGAGAGAGAAGGGGATGATAATGAGGATGAAGGAGGAGAGGTTTGTGAGCATTTTTATGGCAGTGAGGACCCACTGATGCCATCACCACAGTTTGATTTTGGGTAGAATTTTTTTAATTCGTTTGATGGGGGTGAAAACAGAGGTGGGCAATGGGTTTAGTCAAAGCTCTGATGATGATCTGAGGGTTGTGATGGAGGAGGAGGATGAAGAGAGAGAAAATTATGGAGTGAGAAAATTCTGGAGAGAGTATGATGGTGATTTTGGTGTGGTGGTGGCGCCACATCTGGTTGTGTAGGATTGATTGGGGCTAAGGGTAATTTTGTCATTTAAGTATTTTGATATTTTATAATTAAAATTAATAAAATAGTGAAGGGTAAAATGGACTTTACAGATTTTTAAGGCCCTGTTTGGATGGCAAATTTCACAAGGGGCTGTGGTTGTCCCAAAATAAACAAACTTTCATTTAAGTGTCTTTTTAACAAATCTCATGAGGTGTCTCTGTACTTTACCCTTTTCTTTTTTATCAAAGAAAGTAATGGCTTGTTTACTGCAAGAGCGTTGAGGTAAGCTTGTATGGAGTAGTAAGCTTGTACTCTAACAAATGAAGTAATGAAAATTAGATTTTAACTTAGGTTGTTTCCTGCAAGAGTGTCGAGGTAAGTTTGTAATTAGTTCAATCTACAAATGAGATTTTACAATCAACTTGTACTTAGATTTGATCGAATGAGATTTTACAAAGGAAAACTAAATAGATTAATGGTAAAGGTAGGAATGTTTGTACCAATGAGGAAAAGTAAAATCGGCTGTAGTTATGGTGATATTTTGGTTGCTTAAGTCAGGGCATCTAATGTTCTACCGTGCTTGTATTTATAGTCTTATATTTCCTAGTTAATACCCATGTAAAAGTGGCTGTAGTTATGGTGATATTTTGGTTGCATGCTTGAGTCATGGCGTTTAATGTTGCACCGTACTTGTATTTATAGTCTCAGATTTCCTAGTTAATACCCATGTTTTTAAATCTCCATCAGGCTTTTCCCAATACCTATGATGCCTGGTCATGAATAAACTAGGTACATTTCCTTTACCCAGGAGTCAAATCTCTTCTTCTGATCTTCTTTAGAATGGCAGTGGCGCATTAAATTTTTTTCGATTTCTTGATAATGGGGACAGTTGAGCATTAATGGCTTAGATGTTATGATTGTAAAGGTTAACGTTATAGCACGTGTTTCACTATTCTCTCGGTTGGGCCTTATATTCGAGGCATGTTCTAACTTCTTATTTGTCATTCCATAAGTACTGCACGGGGATCTTACCTGTGTTCCTTTGTCATCATCATTCCTGTTTTTGTGAGTTCGTCTTTTGAGGGTAAATGTTCAGGGTTCGAGTGACCCAAGAGGGTCTTTTGACCGTACCTTTAGATATTTGTGAATCTATTCACATGGTTTGGTTGACTCAAGGGGCCTCTTGAAGTACTGACCTAAAAGGGCCTCAATATTTTTATTAACTCGAGGGTTAACTTTCAAGGTTTTGTTGACCTTAGGATTTTTGGAACCCAGGGATATATATCTCAAGGTCCTCACGACTCGAGGATCCTTCTTTGAAGTTTGTTTAACTTGAAAGTTTCTCAGGATTTTCGAGAGTTAGAGAGTTGCTCTTCGAGGTTTCTTTGACCTGAGAGTGTCACAAGGTTTCGGGTTTCGAGAGTTACTCCTGGAGATTATGTTGACTTGAAAAGGTCTTGGAGTTTTTTGGACTCGATGATTACTTCCTCGAAGTTTTGTTGATCTCAAAAAGTCTTAGGATTTTTTTTTTTTATTTATTTTTTTTAAAGCTTAAGGAATTATTTGCCATGCTGTTTGTTCCTTGTCCACATAGCGCGTGGCTGCCTTGTTGGCACCCACATAATCTAAGAACACATTGTTTCAACACTATTCTCTTAGTAATTACGATCCCATAATTCTTAATTTTTGTCCTATACAAATAGAATTGGCCACATGAATTATCTTTTTTTTATTCCAAGTTTTATTTTCTAGTATATTAGATTTTTATTTTTTTTTATTTATACAAAACTCTTGCTAATGTAAGATCAGAGAGACTGTTGGCTGATTTTGAACATGTGCTCGCCAAGACTCGCCCTCCAATTCTTGCATTAAAATTATATATATATATATATATATATATATATATATATTTGTATATATTTTGTTTTCCGACCGACATTTATTATGGGTTGATCCTTGTCACAAGTGAGACAAAGAAAGATGCTGCCCCCACCTTATCTCCTGATGCGAGTACACACCGCGCGCGTATCCATTCTAAACCCACTACAGCGTTATCGTAAGCACAAATTAAAGCCCCAAAAAAGAGAGAAAAGTGATGGGAAAGCAAAATGTCGCGAGAACTTAGCCGAAACAGATAAAACGCGGACGAAAGCGACAACACTTTTTAATGTGAACACGCACGACTAGACCGGACGTCACCACCGAATATCCACTCGATTTGAATTTGGGGTTTCGATTCCGAAACGCAATAACCACCAGAGCTTATCACCCTTCATTTAACTCACTTTGATAAGTGTATCTGCTTATCAATGATAAGTACAGTGGAAAGAGATAGATAGACTCCTGCCAAATGCATCGAAGATTGCGAGACCAGACCAAGTCCTCTCTCTCTATAAATCTTCTCTCTCTCTCTTCTCAGCAGCCTCTCTTTTTCAAGCTTTTTCTGAGTAGAAAACCCTAGAAATTCTCTGTTCTCTCTCGTCCCTAACCTTGTTTTCTCAAGATCTGTTTGTTTATGATTCAAAGTCCTCTGTTTTGAGTGTCGTTTTTGTGGATTTCGTGCTCTGATTGGTGAAAATGTCCTCTCTCAGCAGAGAATTGGTGTTCCTCATACTCCAATTTCTCGAAGAGGAGAAATTTAAGGAATCTGTTCACAAGTAAGTCTCTCTCTATATATATTTAGCATACACAAAACACAAAAATAATTTACTTTTTGTAATTTTTTTTTTTTAAAAGAAACAGTCTTCAATTTCTGTTTGTTTCTGTAGAAAAAAAAAAAGAAAAGAAAGAAAAAGGAAGGTAAAGTAAATTAGGAATCTGATACTTGATATCTTTTGGTTTTGTAGAAATGAACTGAGTTTAATCTAGCTAAAATAGTTGTATACTTCTTAGTTTAGTGGAAGTTTTTATTTATTTATTTATCTATTAATTGGGGTAGCTAAATAGTTGTATAAGGCTTAGGTTAGTGGAAGTTTTTAATTTTTTGGGTTAATTAATTTAATTTGAGTGAGTTTATGGATTGATTAGATTAGATTTTTTTTTTTTTTTTTTTTTTTTTTTTTTTAAATATGTTGATTGTTTTGTAGGCTTGAACAAGAATCAGGGTTTTTCTTCAACATGAAATACTTTGAGGAGAAAGTACAAGCTGGTGAATGGGAAGAGGTGGAGAAGTACCTGTCTGGATTTACTAAAGTTGACGATAACAGATACTCCATGAAGATATTCTTTGAAATCAGGAAACAGAAGTATCTCGAAGCTCTTGATCGGTATATTATAATCTATTTATGTTTATGATTTTTAATCTACTTGTGTTTATTTAAGAAGAATTTAATTTTTGTCATGTTTGGTTGTTTAATTGATATGATTAGGCAAGACAAGGCGAAGGCGGTTGAGATACTAGTGACTGACTTGAAAGTGTTCTCTACCTTTAATGAAGATTTGTACAAAGAAATCACTCAGCTCTTAACTCTTGGCAATTTCAGGTAGTATGTTCACTTTTGTCACGAGGTATAAATGTATAATGACGATGGATTAGCAAATTAGGAAAATGAGAAGATGCTGGTGAATGATTTGAAATTGTTCTCGGCTTTTAATGAAGCTTTGTACAAAGAAATCACTCAACTCTTAATGCCCACTTTGTCATGACGTATAAAGGTAAAACGACAATGCATTAGCAAATTAGGAAAATGAGAAGTCAACCCAAGGAGTTGGCTCAGGTGGGTAAGTCACTTTACCATGGTGCGTTGTGAAGCATCAGGTCTAAGGTTCGACTCCTTTTGAGTGCCGCGGGGGGTGGGGGGGGGGGGGGGGGGGGGGGTGAGTGAGTACCAACTAGCAAAGAAAAAAAAAGATAAGTTAGTTACTCTTACTCTGTTAGTGCAGGGAATTGGTTAGAAAAGAAAAGAAAGTGATATTTTGAACCTTCTAATTCTCTTCATCAGGAAACCAAAAACCTAGTCAACTTTGAGCCTGATAAAATATTTGGCTTTTTCGTCGTCATCATCATCCTTGCCTTAGCTCGTATAAATGGGGTCGGCCAATATCCTGTATGAGATTCAATACTTAGCTTCTTTACGCTCCATTTGGTTTACCTGAGGATATGAAGTAAATTGTTATAAAAGGAAGCAATTTGAAGTTTTCTCATTTTAGTTTTCTAATTATTTTCAAGAATTAGAAAGGGGCTAATTTTTGTCGTTAACTTGTACAAAGTGGGTACTTCTGAACTCGAACATGCCTTCTCATGCTTGGAAACTTGATCTTTTACCATTACACCAAGGAATGGACCCTTATTCTCAAGAACCAAGCAGAGACTTACTTTTTTTTGGCTGACATGGAACAAAAGTCCTGATAATTTTTTGCAACTTTAACTCTTAGTAGATTTAAGTAAAAATATTTGCTAGAATTACATGTTCTAAATTTAGCCTTTTGTTTGTGAAATATGAAAATTTCAAGTTGACTTTTTTTCATTGTTGTGTCAGGGAAAATGAGCAGTTATCCAAGTATGGTGACACCAAAACAGCTCGTAGCATAATGTTGATAGAGCTTAAAAAACTAATAGAAGCAAATCCCCTTTTTCGTGAGAAGCTTGTTTTTCCTACTCTAAAGTCATCAAGATTACGGACTTTAATCAATCAAAGGTAAGTTGGCTTGTAATAGTGTATAAGAAATTTTTTATTTCTTGGTTTTTTGAGTCAGCTTTAATCTGCATGCTGTTATATTAAGGAAACCCAACGGTGTTGTTATTTTATTTTTCCTTTTATGCCTTCATTTTCCTGGTTAGTTAAGCAGAAATTCTTGTTCCCTGTGGCAATAAACCAGCTATATTAGGTCCATCTTATTCCAGCTTATTTTTTTCTATTTCTATTTTTTAAATGTTTCATCTTTTTCATTATACTATTGAATTATTTTCCTAAGTGAGGGTTTGATATTGTTCTTACCATTTGTGTGCGTCTGTGCCCTTTAAGGAGATCAACTGCATTACTGTAGCAATTGATTTTTTGATATTCCAACGCACTCATTAGTAATATCCAACGCAGAAAATTAATCAACTCGTGACCCTTAATTTTCTTGATTCTAGAAATCTGGTGATGGTGATTTTCTTTCCATTATCGCATGTATTACAGTAGATATACTTTTACTCTTCACCGTGTATGTTTGATGTGAATGACTGATATCTGATTTTTTTGGCTTATCCAGCTTGAACTGGCAGCACCAGCTGTGCAAGAATCCAAGGCCAAACCCGGACATTAAAACCTTATTCACAGACCACACATGTACACCTCCTAATGGGGCTCTTGCACCTTCTCCTGTCAATCTTCCAGCTGCTGCAGTTGGGAAGCCTACTGCTTATACATCACTTGGCGCTCATGGTGTATGATATTTTTGTCTTAGGAGTTTCAAATTTCCCAGATAAAGTACATACTCTTTTAAAGCATTACTGATTACTGTTTTGTCTCATTTTGTGTGTGTAGCCTTTCCCACCCACTGCCGCAGCTGCTAATGCTAGTGCTCTAGCAGGTTGGATGGCAAATGCTGCTGTGTCTTCATCTGTTCAAGCAGCTGTTGTTACTGCATCCTCCTTACCTGTTCCACCAAATCAAGGTTACTTTATTTTCAGGATGAGTTGGTATTCTATTAATTTGATATTCTTGAAGTGCATAGTTCAAAAAGAGGCTATTGTTGCACAGTCATGCTTATAATAGCTTTTCTGATTTTATGCAGCTTTTGGAAGATAAATATATATAATGGCCTTTGAATGTTATCCATATATAAAGATAAATGAAAGGGTGTTTCCAATTTCTTGTTTTTGGAAATGGGGTATATCCAAAATATTGATATTGTTGTCATTGTTTCTAATTATGGACAAAAGTTCTAGTATTTCCTTAAAGGAATGCTTGAGAAGCTTTAAATTTGTAATGCCTGAGCTATATGAAATATTACTCTATAATGGAGTTTGTTGGTTTTTATTCGACTCTCCTGCAACAACTGACTATAATACTCATTTGAATGTATGATTTATCTTTATATAAAATTTTAATTGTTTGTCAATTCAACTCCTTTATTCCTCTGTTTCTCAGAGAGAGTGTTATTTTATTCACTTTTTCCTTTGAACAGTTCAACTCTTGAAGCGTCCAATAACTCCTCCAGCAACTCTGGGTATGCTTGATTATCAAAGTACTGATCATGAACAATTAATGAAACGCTTACGGCCTGCACAATCTGTTGAGGAGGTGATCTTCAGGACTTACTGTTTCTTTATGCTGTCCTTGATACTTCATCATGCCATTTTCATTTTGCAATGTGCCACTTGTTCCTCACTAACATTATTATTACTTACCGGTCAACTTTTTCTCCTTTAATTCAGGTTACATATCCAACTACTCGTCAACAAGTTTCTTGGTCCCTGGATGACTTGCCAAGAACAGTAGCTTTTACCATGCATCAAGGATCCACTGTCACAAGCATGGATTTTCATCCTTCGCAACACACCTTGCTTCTTGGTATGATAGTCTATGATTGGTGATTCGTCTATATGGATGATTTTGTAGCTGAGCTCCTAGCAGATATATTGTGCTACTACTCTACTTCCTGTTATCTTAACTTTGATGGTCTTTCAAACAGTCGGTTCTAGCAATGGTGAAATAACACTTTGGGAAGTTGGGACGCGAGAGAAGTTGGTTTCAAAGCAATTCAAGATATGGGATATGACACAGTGTTCATTAGCATTTCAGGTTTTTATATCATATTTCAGTTGTCCTTGCATTTCCTTTTGTTATCGGCAAAAACTTTTATTTCCTCCCATTCCTTTGCTGCTTCTGTTGTCGTTGTGCATTTGTAGTGATGCTTATAATTCTAAAATTATTACTACTTAGCTGTGCCCTAGTATTCATCATTTGATATCCTATTTGGAATTGTTGATATCATAGTGATTTTTTTTGTAAAATAAGCCTTTAGGATACAATATTGCTGTGACTATGTTTGGGTTGCATTGGATATTCCCATTGTGATGCTTTAAAAAGTTGAAGCAACTACTCTTGATGGATTCTCACAATGTGGAACTTGAACAGGCTTCCTTTGTCAACAAAGATGCACCAGTATCAGTAACCCGTGTTACATGGAGTCCTGATGGAAATTTTATGGGTATGTGCAGTTCAACAAGACCATCTTCAGAAAGTGCGCGTGAGTTTTTCTTATTGTTTTCCATGTTGCAGGGGCTGCGTTTACTAAGCATTTAATCCATTTGTATGCTTATTCTGGATCAAACGATTTACGCCACCATTTAGAGGTGAGTTGGGATATTCCTGCATGTTCAAGAAGGTAAAACTTATAACTCACTACTTAACTTGCATCCTTTCTGCCTGCAGATTGATGCCCATGCTGGTGGAGTGAATGACTTAGCTTTTGCTCATCCAAACAACAAGCTATGTGTAGTAACCTGCGGAGATGATAAGCTAATAAAGGCAAGAGATGAACTTTAACCTCTATGATTTTTATTTCTTTAAATTATATTCTTTTTTGTTTTCTCTAAATGAAAGAGTGGAAACAGGTGTGGGATTTAACTGGAAGAAAGCTGTTTAATTTTGAAGGGCATGAAGCACCCGTATTTTCAATATGCCCTCATCAGAAAGAGAGTATTCAGGTGTGTCAGAAGGTTTTTTTTTCCGGGTTATTTATTAAAAAAAGTTCTGTAGTTGATAACCTATTCATGCGTACATTGCTACTTGATTGATTTGGAAGAATGTTTGTTAAATTATATATATAAATGTATCTAATTTAGTGGCAATAATAGTCTGAAAAAGTTTTCAGTGTGTAATTTATTTTCATCGGTGACAATATATAGATTTTTTTAATTAACCACTAACTAGTACTCGTCCTTTTAATTAACCATTATCTAAAGCACCTTAAAACCTTTTAGAAAGTGCATGTGTTAGATTTATTAATTTTCCTTCTTGTCCTATCTAATGAAAAAATTATGATAGCTTATCAATCTGATGACCATCATGTGCTCTGGGTCTATGGTTGCTGGCGCCTTTTGAGTGCTTGTAGTTGGAATTGCTTAACAGCTCTCCTTGCCCCCCTCCTTTTTTTGCCAATCAGAAGAATATTCTAGAAGCTGTATTAATTTACCTGTAACTGTTCATTGTTTATCTAAATTTTATGTAAAGATTGTATTTCTTAATTTTTTTTTCTGTTGCATCTGCCTTGCATTTATTTAAATATTCATTTTGTCATGTTATTAAATTTGAGATCTAACTATCTTGGAACCTTAACCAAGACTTAAAACTGCTAAATATGTCTTCGTGTACTGAGATACTGTAGACCTATTCTTAAAAGTGTAATCATTGAATGCCTAAAGCAGGAAAGACTTGAAGCTACTCTAGTTTTCTCTTCAAAATACCCTTACTTCATTTAATACAGTTTTTTCTTAGTGAAGAAATAAAAGACATCTGACAGTAATATGAGCTGATTAAGATTTAAGACTACTTTTAAAATTTTTGTTGTTTGATAACCCAATTCGGCACTTAATTCTTAACTGACTATCCAATTAAGTGCATTTGATAGCGCAATCTGGATGGCACTTAAAAAACTGGTGGCCCTTAAATGAGGTAAAATTTCAAGTGACATTGAATACTGAATATTAAAAATTCAAGGAAGTATTAAACAAAATATCAATTTGCTATTGTTTTGAGCCTACTTTTTAAATACCTAACATATACTTCTTATTAAGTGGACTTGTTATATATTTTTCAATATGCTTTTCACAAATTACAACAATAGCTTATAATACCACCTAGAACACAAGCACTACCATAACCATCGTACTTAAAACTATGGATAAAGAGATACTTAAATAAAATTTTATTTTAGGCCAACTACAAGAAAACCTAATTGAGTATACCATGACAACTACATGTGTCGCTGCTCTTTATTGTCGCCACCGTTGCTAGGACTGTTACCATGACACATTGTCGTGTCACCATCATGATGCAACACAACCCTTAAAATTGAGGAACATGGCTGCCTTACATACAATAAGAGCAATGCAATATAGGAACCTCAGTTTGGAATTAGATATTATAGAGATTGCAGAAAAAATAGTAAAAAGGATTTGTTGAACTTAGGAAAACAAGAGATAAAGAAAATTGGAGGTCCTTTTATTGTGATTCATCTCTTCTGAAAGTAAATATGTCAAGAGTTTTGTACCTTCCATGAACCAGTTAGCAAAACGAAACGAAAGAGTCCCGTCCTTCATCTTTCTATTTTTGCAGAATTCCAATTGTAATCTTTGTCCGTACTTCTTTATAATTACAAAACTGCCTCAATAATAGCCCTTTTTTTTTTTGATAAGTAAAAATAACATTAAAAAAGGTGTTCAAAAGGGGAACGCTTCTCAATTACAAAAGAGGAACCGGGACTAAGGCCCCAAAGAATCCAAGAAAGTAATTAAATCATCAGAAGAAGAACAAAAGCTCCCCTTCACATAATTGAAAAGAGAACGAAGAATGTAAAGTTTGACCATTGCTGTGGGCGACCTTCGAACATTCTGCTATTTCTCTCCTTCGAAATGCACCACCATACACAATGTGGTACAATTCTCCAGAATAATAGCCCTTATTCTTACAATTCCCAATAATTATGTTTTTTCAGTATTACCCTTCCTCTTAATTTTCTTTTTAAAAACTTACACTTATTTTGTGCACTCTTTTGACATTTTTCTGTGTTAAAATCCTAAATTTTAGAGATTAGAAGGATGCAATGCTTGTACATTTGCGTCTGTAAGATGTACATTGTTTTATGAAGTTCTATTTCCTATTGAGACCATGCTTGGTAACATAATGGTTTTCCCGATTGAAAAAGACATCATGGTTTACACTCGTACATTTGCAGTTTATATTCTCTACTGCTATTGATGGAAAAATTAAGGCCTGGCTGTACGACAATATGGGATCTAGAGTTGACTATGATGCTCCTGGTCGCTGGTGTACTACTATGCTTTACAGTGCTGATGGAAGTAGGTAAGATGAGCAAAATTCAAATACCAGACAAGATATTTAGGATGATGCCATTTGATTCCTTGAATGTTTTTTGGATCCATGTTTCTGCATACCTTTTAAATTCTTGAAGAATTTTGGCTTTTCAAATGATGTGCGGTTTACAATTGGTTTTATCAAAAATTCAGATTGTTCTTCACTTTATGATCCTTTCTTTCAGATTGTTCTCATGTGGAACTAGTAAAGATGGGGAATCTTTTTTGGTTGAATGGAATGAAAGTGAGGGAGCTATTAAGAGGACATATTCTGGGTTTAGAAAGAAATCAACTGGTGTGGTGCAGTTTGACACAACTCAAAATCACTTTTTGGCTGTGGGTGAAGATAAGCAGATAAAGTTTTGGGATGTGGACAATATTAACATTCTCACAAACACGGACGCAGAAGGTGGACTCCCGGTTAGTATCACATATGTTAATTTAGTAGTTCTTCTGAGGGATATCCACAATGTTTGAATCATGCACTTAATCATTTCATTTATTGCCTCAGGGTCTTCCTCGTTTGAGGTTCAACAAGGAAGGAAATCTTCTAGCTGTTTCAACAGCAGACAACGGAATCAAGATACTTGCAACAGCCGCTGGTCTTAGATCATTAAGGGCAGTTGAAGCCTCATCTTTTGAAGCATCAAGAACACCTGTTGAACTTGCTGCAATCAAGGTACAGTTATTTTTTTCCGTCTTGAGTTTATTCCTTAAGAATATATACTTTATGGGATTTACAGAAACCTTTGTGCTCATGGATCAGGTTTCTGGTTCTTCTGCTGTTGCAAATGTCAGTCAAGTCAATTGTAAAATGGAAAGAAGCTCCCCCGTCCGGCCTTCTGCTATTCTTGTATGTCGTAATGTCACTGATATCTTTTCTCTGTTAAACGCGTGTTTTTTTTTTAAATGGATTGGTCTGCCCTAGTACCATGTTAGAGACAGATACTATCTAAGACCTTCTAGGTCTCTGCCACAAGCTTGTGAGAAAGGATTGGATAACCTTCTTTTCTTTCCCATCCTACAGTGTTTTCGTAAACTGTTGAGTTTACACTGATGCAAATGGAACTTAGAAAATGGACCAGAATTGGTGCCTCTAAGGCCACCATTGTTTCTATTTATGGTGTCACTCTTTCTTCATTTGGCAAATAATTCTCATCTACTACTGCAGCTTGGTGAAGTCTTCTGCTGAATTTTTTTATTTTATTATTATTTTGGTTTTCTTTTCCAAGAATGGAGTTGATCCTGTTGCTAGAAGCATGGAAAAGCCAAGAACTTTGGATGATGCAATTGATAAAACAAAACCATGGCAGTTGGCTGAAATCATTGATCCTGCTCAGTGCCGGCTGGTTACCATGCCAGAAAGCACAGACTCTGTCAACAAGGTGTGTTCAGCAATTTCTACTCCTCATTCATTATGGCATAATTTTTCTGTCATATGATGCTTTGACTGACACGTATATATTTAGGTCACCCGACTTCTTTATACAAATTCTGGTGTTGGAATTTTGGCGCTTGGGTCAAATGGTACTCAGAAGTTGTGGAAGTGGGTCCGCAATGATCAAAATCCAAGTGGAAAGGTAATTAATTGTTGGGTCTAATTGCTTTAATATGTCTGTTTGTCGTTTGTTTCAGATTTTATTATTTGTGGATAGTTGTGGAGGAGATTTCTGAAGTCAGTGTGTGTTTAAAGGCCACTGCCAATGTTGTTCCACAGCATTGGCAACCAAACAGTGGTCTTGTTATGACTAATGATGTCTCAGGTGTCAAACTCGAGGAAGCAGTGCCATGCATCGCGCTCTCAAAGAATGACTCTTACGTAATGTCGGCCTGTGGTGGAAAAGTTTCATTGTTCAACATGATGACATTCAAGGTATGTCTGCCCATGCATAGGTTGCCCACTTTGTCAAGATTGGTGATATACATGTCCGGGCATGAGATTGCTCTTATATGCAGGTAATGACAACATTCATGCCACCTCCACCTGCTTCAACCTTCCTAGCATTTCATCCTCAAGATAATAACATCATAGCCATTGGAATGGAGGATTCAACTATCCACATATACAACGTTAGGGTGGATGAGGTACTTTATTTTTATGATATTTCGAGTGTTGGATGTTTGTACAGCTTACTTGACCAGAATTGATGTGATTGTATTTGCCTTTTCTAGGTGAAATCAAAATTGAAAGGCCACCAGAAGTGCATAACTGGTTTAGCTTTTTCTACTAATCTTAATATTTTAGTTTCATCCGGTGCTGATGCTCAGGTAAGCTGACTTTAAACTTTTTTTTTTCTTTGGCTAAATTGGAGAACATTCATCGCCTGATTATTTTTTAGCTAAGAAAATTGTAAAGGCTGTTTTTGTTTTATTTTTATTTTATTATATATTTATTTATTTATTTGATATAACTCAACAAAAAGCCTTTCCTCTGAATTTTTCGCTTTGTATTAAATCCAGTCCCTGCTTAGGGACAAAAATTTAAACACAACTTGGCACATGGATATAGAATTTTGCTGAATTAAAATCTAAATATACGAAACATGCGTTGTGTTTGGTCTTTTATTATTATTTTCTGTGGATTATTCAATCTCTGTTCCTATTTCACATCCTCATATGCTCTTCTCCCTGGTATTAGGGTCAGGCATCAAGCAGGCTTGGACTTGTGACATGTTAAAGTTGGATGGGCCTTGCCTGAAACTCAACGAAATTAATTTGAGATGAGATCTGTGGCGAGCCACTATCCACTGTACCTGTTATTTTTAGAAGTCCCTGACCTCTATTGAAAACAATACCTGGTTACAGATATCTTACTCCATTAACAGTTAAAGATGGAAAATGATTACGTCATGCCATAAAAAATGTTGAATTTTCAATAGTATCCTCATTTTACAAGATATCTCTATTAAAAAAAATAATAAAATTATCTGAGAGTATTTTAGTGATACCACACCAATTGTTAACACCGTCAGAGGGATGTCACAGACATGGTAGGTCAATGTTATTTTTAGGAGAGTCCATGTAATTTTACCAAATCTCTGGGAGGTCAGTGTAATTTACACTAAATAGTTCTATTTCCCAATACTTCAAGCATCAGCTACTGATGCAATCCTTTTGACTATTCGTTGCTGCCATACTGTTAAATTCATATTCTTGCTTAGGCAAATATTTTTCTTGATTGAGAACAATATTGAGAATATTTCATTGGTGCACCGGAATGTGAAATAATTTTTGTTTTGTTATTACTCATAATGCATTTGTATCTTTCAGCTTTGTGCTTGGAACATTGATACATGGGAGAAAAGGAAATCAGTTCCATTACAACTGCCTGCTGGTAAGGCGCCTAGTGGTGATACTCGAGTACATTTCCACTTCGATCAAATCCGCTTGCTGGTATCCCATGAAACGCAGTTAGCAATATATGATGCCACCAAGATGGATCGTATACGGCAGGTAGAAATCATATCTACATTTCTGGGTTTATGATTGCCTTTAACAACATTAACTTCTTTTCCTTGGCATTCTTCCATTGCAGTGGGTCCCACAAGATGTTCTCTCTGCTCCCATTTCATATGCGGCTTATTCCTGCAACAGTCAACTGGTTTTTACTTCCTTTTGTGATGGTAATATTGGGGTCTTCGATGCAGATAGTCTGAGACTGAGATGCCGCATTGCCCCACCTGCATACTTGTCTCAGTCTGTATTAAATGGGTAAGTAAGAGCATCAAAGCTTGTTCCCTGAAATTTAAGTGGCAGTTTAGCTTCGTAGTGCTGTGGAACTAATGGAGTTGTTATTGATGCTCGCTAAATATTAACGTAATGGATTCTTACAAATTTGATTGTCTGCTGAACGTCTTTTTTTCTTTACATTGTTTATCTATTGAACTTATGGAATTAACAATTTGTTGCTGCATTTTGGTTCTCTCTTATCATTACTCCATCTAGTCAATAGCCATTCCTCAGGCCCAACTATTATTCTAATGTCAAATCTTTCACGTATTTACTGGATTTTTCCTTTACCTTGTTTTGGTTTTTGTTCTTCTAATTTTAGTTTCCTTGTACGACAGTAGAAGTACTTCGAAGAATTGGGTTTGAAAATTAAAATAAAGCTCAGCTCAGCTCAACTCAACGGGGCCTTGTTTTAACTGTTTGGTGTCCATACATGAATTCTGTTTCACCGTTCTGCCATGTATAATGATATAACTTAAACTACACAATATGATACATTTCCCTACCATCTGAATCCTGTCTAAAATAGTATTACTAGTATAGCAAATGTTATATAGGGTTTAAAAAGTTAGTAGCTAGCAGTGATATGTATAGTATGTTCGGAAAAGGCTTCTAGTATGATTGGAAAAATGTTTTGTTGAGTTGAGTATATATTTTACTAAGCTTGTACTGCATAGAACTTGGAAACTGTGTCTCGCTGTAGTAAACTTTAAGCATAATTGTTTTGGTTATTACAACGGAACTTGTCTTCTACTTTACTGCAGAAGCCAAGCTGTGTACCCGGTTGTCGTTGCAGCACATCCACAAGAGTCGAACCAATTTGCTATTGGGTTGACAGATGGGACTGTTAAAGTGATAGAACCTCAAGAATCCGAGGGAAAATGGGGAGCAACTCCACCTGTTGACAATGGGATGCTAAATGGTAGGACGGCGTCTTCATCCACCACAAGCAACCACACACCTGATCAGGTTCAACGATAAAAATAGTTGTAATTTAGTGTCTGAACTCATGTAATTTGTCATTGTAGATTTTAGGTTTTTATACTCCCTTGTTTACAGAGATCTAGTTTAATGCTTGTGATATATATAGCTAATTAACATTGTTCTGTTCGGTACCCTGTTCTCTAATTCAATTTGTAGAAAGGATAGTTGTGGAGGAAAAATGAAAATATGAAAGAAAAGAAACCAATAGTGTTTCTTGTGCTTGTTGAAAATCAAATGGTTGTATGCCTTAATCCATAGGAAAAATAACCTTAAATCTATAATGTCTTTTATGTTCCGAGGCTGTAGCCTAGTGGTGTCGAGGGTTCAAGTCTGTGCAAGGGCAAGTGGGTGTGTGTGTGTGTGTTTTTCTTGCCGAGGGAAAAAAAAATGTTCTTGATTTTATGGAGTCGGAATATTAATTTCTCTTCGAAGCCTGGTGAGGCTTGAGGGTTGGATTAATTTGCAGCCTTGAATCTCAAATCCTCTATAGCATGCTTTGAAGGGTGCATCAGTCCAGTTTATTTTCTTCCTCTGCTGTGCATATAATCCCCAGCATAGGGTTTGAAAAGTAATTTCCTCCAATCTTTATGTTGTTTTTAAACACCCTTATGGAATTTTGTCCACATAAAACCTGTAGAAAACACCAAAACATTCAATGGCACTATATCAGCAAATATGAATGAGGTATATATATATATATATATATATGAAAATGATTCTTAGGCCTACTTGTTTACTCATGGCCTAACAAATAGGCCTGAGTATCTTTGGCTCAACCTGGTTGTTCCATTGTGACTTCAGGTCACGAATTCGAAACAACAAACATTCTCCGTATCTCTATATGGTGGAGTTAAGGTTGTGTAAAAGGTTGTGTAAATCCTCCGTATCTTTATGCGGTGGAGGTAAGGTTGTGTAAATGACTCTTCCTAAACCGACGGGAGTCTCTTGCCCTGGGTAGAGAGAGAGAGAATTCACACACTATTTGATGTTGGTTCCAAAGAATCTGATGGTCATGAAAATGTTTGACAGGATCAAACCAAGAACTTGAAATCAAGTCATGATCTTCTGGACTTGACTTTAACTGTCATTAAACCCAACCTCACATCAGTTAATCTCCATGTATTATTACAATATTACAACAAATAACAATATTACTGCGATGGATGTAATGAATTTTGAATATATATATATATATATATATATATATATATATACATGTATATAATTAGTTAAAACAAAAATGCGCATAGAATGTCATAGCAAATGCCTTGATAGCCCTTTGACTCTTTGCACCTACTAATTTATCTTCTAACCCTTCTTGCCTGTAAAAAATAAAAATAAAAAATGAACATAGAATGTCGTGACGACTCGGAGGGAGTCCATTGTGCTAGTAGGTTCATCCTCGTATGGAAATATCCGGAAGAATAACTTTGCTTGGAGATGAACCCACTCCTGACAGTACACAAAATGATCATTAGAGGTTACAAGTTACAACAAAAGTGTGTGTGTGTGTAATTACACAAGGATACATGTACGAAAACACACACACGTATACATATACACAACTTGTAAAACATTATTAATACATACACAACATATAGTGAAGGTCCATGGATGAACAAATGGCAATATGTGCCAATAAATTGATCCCACAAAAACTGGATCTCTCTTGCGAGGTTGAGAAGTGATAAAGCAAGATTATTTGCCCATAAAATAATGCTTAAATTATCAACTTTTAAGGTGCATATATATACACGCACGCAATGACAACTCCGGAAATTATATGAGAGATGACGGACTTGAATATATAGTAAGGTCTTATCAAAAAATTAAGTAGGAACACTTCTAAAATTTATTGGTAATTTTGTAAGTAAAAAAATTTCAGTGGGTTCGACTCCCTTTCCCCTCCCACTAAGCCCTTAACAAATCCGTGATTATATATATATTGCACCGGTGCCCTTCTAACTTGAAATACAAAAAAATAAGAAGAGAAGAAAATTATGCAAAAAAATTATTTTTAATGAATACAGACCGTTAATTACAACTATATGAGGTAATTGCCAAATATTATTGTTTATTAGACTTGATTCTCTATATTTTTAATGAATATAGACAGTTAATTCTCTTAAATAAATAATAGGGTAAAATGCAATAAACCCCTTTGGACTATTGGGAAACCTACAACTAATCCCTTGGACTTCCAAAAATTCAAGAAACCCCCTAGACTATGCAAAAATATTGCAGATGACCCCATCCGTCCAATTTCCGGTGATATATGACCGTTAAAATTGGTTTGTTAATTTTAAATGACCATATTGCCCAAAGAAGTATGAAAGGACAATAATGTCCCTAATTTCCAACCGTTGACAGCCATTCCTTATAATTGAACCGACCCAAACAAACCTTTATAAAAAATTCCCCAAATCGATGACTTTGCAACCTTCTAGGGTTTGTCTTCGTTTTCAATTAGCTGTGCATTTGAGTTTGGTGGTCAGAAACAAGATACAATCATCGTACTTTCGTGCCAATCAGCTGTGCATCTTGGTAAGGGTTGTTACCCATCTGTAGGTCTGTATTTTGGAAAGAGCGATCAAATTTATTTCACTTTGTTCATCATCGTGCTCTAAGCGTATCCATCTCATTTTCTGTCTCTATGTATGGTATATATATATGGTATTATTTTCTCTATTAATTTTCATTTATATGGTATAATTTACAGAAAATGAGTTTTGAATCATCTATAAGTCGTAGTTTTCAGGGTGTGGTGCTGTGAGCACTTGCACTTTTATCATTTTTCTGGTCATTTTGATATTCATGCATTTTTATTTTATTGCCGGAAATTATGATTTAAGTTGCAAATGTGTTTAATTTAGTTAAATGTCATTTGTTTATTTCATAAAGGGCATTATGAACTTTTTGTTTTACAAATGGTATATATGGTATTTGATCATTTTATATAGGGCAAAGTAGACTTTTAGTAGGCACATGGCATAATTGGCATTTGGAAATAATGGAAGGACTTTTTGGTCATTTTTGCTTGGTCTTGCATTTGACTAATTGTGAGCTTGACACATGGGGGTTCACATGGCCACATATTGTGTGTGTGTGTGATGACATATAGCATTACAATTGAATGGGATAGACACAAAACACAATCTACAGAATGCCATTTTCCGTCCCTTTTGTTCTCTTTCATAGTAGTCTTTTTTACATGACAGTTTGAAGCTTTTGTGTTGGGATTTTGAGAAGGGTTTGTGAATGAAAAGTGTAGTTGATGTCTTGGGCTTCATTTTGGTAGCAAAGTTGCAATAATTTCTTCACTGTTGGGATTTTAAAATTTGATTTGAAAAGGGAAGGGTTGGTTGAATTTCAAGAGGTGTTTTTCATCTTTTTGCAAAATTGGTAGCTTACTTTGGATTGCTTTAAATTATTGGTAGCTAGGTTATCAAGCTGCTAAGAGGTAGGATTGTCTAACCCTCAATTCCTTTGTCTTTAGTGAGTTAATTTCTTTCAAATTTTGAGTTGCAAAGTGTATACAAATAAAACTGAAATTCTGTGCTGCTGAAACTTAATTACATGCTACTGTTTTGCTCAAATTCATGTAAATTCGTAATTTATCTTTTAGAGATGATTTGATATTATGATAATATAGTTAATTAGCTTTCATTCAGATTTGGATTCATTTAAATTAGTTGAGAAATGAATTTATTACGAATTTTTGAAGTTATAGTGTTCTTGCTGGAAATTCTGGGTTGGAGGCAGATTTTGTCCAAGTTTTTCTCATCAAACTTGATTTAAATGGTAAGGGATTTTGGTGAAGTGAGATTTTAGCTTGAAAATATAGTCTTTAAACTTTCAATGGGCTTTGGATTCACTCAATTTGGATGAGAATTGAATTTTTTATGATTTTTCAAAATTGGAAGCAACAGGCTGGAAATTAATTTTCTGGGCAGAATTTATTTCAAAATTTTGGGTCAAAACTGTTCCAATTGGGAAGGGATTTTGTTAAACTAAATTGACACTTTCAAAGTACATTGTTTAAGCTTTCATTAGGCTTTAGAATCACTCAATTTGACATATAATTGAAATTATTATGAATTTTCAAAGATGGAGATAACAAGCTGCGTATGAATTGTTAACAACTAGTAGGGATTGTTTTAACCCTCACACCCTTTGTTTCCTTGTGAATTAAATCTTGTAAATTGAACCATTATATGACTTGAATTAGGCTTTCTTTACAAGCAGGTTGTGTAATTAAAATCTGAAATTTTGTAGCTTAGACAGAAATGATGCGTTATGTGTTTCAAATATGGAATTTGAGCTCTTAAAATGTTGTTGATGTTTATGCGCCTAAAAACTGAAATTCTAGTAATCACAATGGTTGTATTGTTATTGTTTGACAAGTTGGAAATTATATATTTAGTTCACTTCAATTATGGGTTGTTTTGATATAAGTTTGGTATTGTAATAATGTTCAAAGAACTGAATGATACATTGTCCTTGAAACATGCTGTCATGATAAATTTGCTGCCAAAGTGTGTTCATAGAATTTCTATATGTTTTCGATGTCTAATAACTTCTATGTTGTATAGATTAGAAGACAACATGCTTGAGTTGACTTCTTGAAGGCTGTGATAGTATGTCATTATGAAGCTTGCTGCCATGATATATTTGTTGCCAAAGTATGTTTATAGAATTGGATTTTAATGTGAGTAATGATGTGGTATTATAATATTGTGAAGCATGTGCATTCATCCATAGCATTGGGCATGAAAGAAAAGGGGAAAGTGTTTTGAAATGAAAGTGAAAGGGATGTTTGGGAGAAGAAATTTTGATAAAATAGTTTTTATGAAAACCCGGACGCCGCGGGGGTACCAACGGTCCATAGAGTTAATGTAATCTAGAGGGAACTAGGGAGATCGCCCTAGCGTGACTGAGCTATCTGGGCCCAAATGACGTCGCGGGGGTACCAAGGGTCAAGGACAGTTGCCAATCCTTCTCTCGGCGCTGAGGGGTTACCGAAGGGGGTTACATTAACAGTTTGAAAAGTGACGGTTGGTTTTGGAAAAATGGGGAGCCACATCGCATGACATTGCACCCATTGCATGGCATATCCATTCATGACTTGGTTTATAAATGTGATATTGTGGTTATTTCTCTCCCGACATGAATGTGGTAATTATGGAGTAATAGAGATGGATATTCTCAGTTTGTATTTATGATTAGACATGGGTAGTTATCCTTTTGTCTAGGTGCAGTAAATCATTAATGCTAAAGGGTTCCTTAGGTATTAATAGAAAGATAGTCTTTTCACGGTACAGGGGTTTACCTTTAGACTAATGGTTATGCTAATTAAAAAGGTGATACTTTGTATAGAAGATTGTATTAAGGGGAATGATTTTGAGTCTGCTTATATGGCACTTTATATTATTCTGTGTTGACTGTTTTTGTGTGATAGCATGATTATGTGATGATTATTTTCCCCCTGATTAGCATGACTCCCTTTCTGATTCCTATTCTTTGTTTGGATTCATGGGGGTATTAAGGAGTGGTGGTTAGGCATTTCCTGTTGAGCTTTGGTTGCTCATTCCTATTATATATACATTTTTTTCAGGTTATGGACAAGAGGTCGTAGAGAGATTCAGATTCCTCCATAGCCATGGATGGATGTTGGGTTCTATTTGGTTATTTATCTTTGTCTAAATGGAAAATGTATATTTTGAGACCAGTATGTATATTTGTAAATATTTTTCCAAATAGATCGTGTTTAAATATTGTAATTAAAGGATTATGAGATTTTACGTATGAAACCCACTTTCATATTTTTAGATAATGTGAGAATAGGAAACTTTATTTAAAATGATTTTGAATCAATGGATTTTTCTATTATCAGCTATGGACATTAAAGTTTTATTAAAAAAAAAAAATTTGACATTGTTCCAAGGCTCGGTCAAACATTTTTGAATACGAGTATTTCTTTGTTCTATTTTATATTCACAACCTGGATTACGGTTAAGGGTCGTGATAGGTGCAAAGGGGTTCTTTCAGGAATAGGAAATGTTGTTGTGACAAAAGGGCAGCTGTGTTCATATCTGAGTCAACCGACAATCCTGGCAAGCTCTATTTCAATTGCAAGAATAAGGAATGTAATTTTTTCCAATGATGGACTTCTCCAACAGGTTTCGGTGAAGCCATTGAAGATGAAGATGAAGTTCGAGTAGGTCATGTTGTGCCTCTTGCTTCGTTCATTGCAATTGCTAAGTTAATGTTTATTGGAAGCATGTTCTTCTTTGGGTTGTCAGTTATGATCTTATTTGGTTGCCTTTTTATGAAGTGAGTTTTTTGGGTGGGACTTGATAGTGTTGTATGTTGAAGATCAATTTTAGGAGTGGAATTTTTTGGTTGGTTGGGATTTAGTAATGTTGTATCTTTATGTATCTTTTAAACCTCTTGTATACTTTAAGTATGTTGAATGAAAATGGTGTCTATTTTGTTTAATGACAGTGCAATGCAATTGTGTCTATTTTTTGGTTGTATATGTTGTGCAATGCAATGACAAAAAATGCAAGGAGCTGTTTTTGGTTGTTTGTTGAATGACAGTGTAATGCAATTGTATCTCTTTTCTGGTTGTATGTGTTGTGCAATGACAAAAAATTCAAGAAGGTATTTTTGGTGGTTTGATGAATGAGAGTGCAGTGCACTTGGTTGTTTGATGAAGACTGAATGACAGTACAGTGTGTGTGATAAAACAGACTTAACACTACATGCTCATCTCTCCATTTTTACCCCCACCCATAAAATCAATTTTCCCTCACTGAAAATTTCTTAGCAAAACCAAATTTGCTCCAACACGATAAGGGAAAAACCTCATAATATTATACACATGCTCGTATGTAAACTGTTATGGATCAAAAAATTTCTAAATTCATAACAGAATTTAGAAACTCCATAATAATAGTCAATAAGAGAAGACTCAGCTGATATCCATTTAAGTTTTCATTCATTGCAATTGGAACTTCATAATAACAGTCAATAAGAGCTTATCTTATTGAAACTCCATAATAACACTGCCTATTACAATGGTTAAACCACGCATATCATGATATACCCTCTTATTGATTGTGTGTGCCATAAGGTTATATCATTAGATTAAACCAGTCAATAAGGGTAAATAAGTGGAGCTTCTCTTATTGACATAACATACAGAATTTTCCTCTCTCTCAAACATAGCCTATCATACATTCAATTGCAAAAAAAAAAAGAAAAGAAAACACTTCATATTAATAAAACAGCCATACATTCAGAAAAGTTTAGAACAGTTACACTGATAAAGCAACCATACACATTCAAAAAAGTTTAGAACAGTTACACTGATAAAACAACCATACATTCACAAAAGGTACATAAGAAGACTGTTTTGAGCTAATCTTTCACATAACCACAGAGTGACAACACCAAAAAAGCCAACATATGGAGTCTTCACTCATTACCTTTAACAATCACCAAAAAATCAGACTCTTCAAATCAGCAACAGTAGAGTGACAAAACCATCATCAACTCCGTGGCAATATTAACTACTAACATGCATACTTACTATCCATCATTGAGTTGTTAATCAACCAAGAAATTTTTTAATAACAACAAACAAATCATAACATTAAATCTGAATATGGTATGTTTTGAACTTGAAAAAGTAGGGTATGCTTTGAACTTGAAAATTAAAATATATCTATAAGAAGTTGATGATTGAGTTTGTTACAGCTGAGAATATGGTATATTTTGAACCTGAAAATAAAATTGGTTGCGAAACAAATAAGTTCCAACATAAAGAAACCATAGCAAGTGTGTGTACATAACATAAAATTGGACATACCTCTTGGTTTGAAGGTGTTGGAGCAGGAACTTCAACTCTTCTCTCTCTCCTTCTTCCAGCCTTTCTTCCTCTTCCTCTTAGTGGCATCCCAGTAGGTCCTCTTGCTCCCCCTCTTCCAACAGTTGGTGGTCTACCTCCCCTTCTTGGTGGAGGTCTGTCAATTACCAAAGGCTCAGGTAATTTGCAAGTCCTTGAGTTGTGCCCATTCTCTTTGCACCTGGTACATTTTAGACCAACCATTGACCTCCTGCTAAGCTTGGTTGAACCTTTGGGATCATCATTCTTCTTCTTTCTAGCCTTTTTTGGCGTACAAATGGGTTTCCTATAATGTGGTGGAAGTAATGGGTCAATGGTGTTAGTTTTCATTAACCTTTCCATTGGAATAGGAAGGATCATGCCACTATAACACTTCATATAGGTTTCCCTCTGATAAAATGGGTAAACACATACCTCAGGAGAGTCTCTCTTAATGAAAATACATGCCACAGCATGCCTACATGGGATACCAGTCAAGTTCCAAACTTTACAGCTGCAACTTCTTTTATCAATGTCAACTGCCTCACTGATGCCATAACATTGCACCCCATACTTATTCTCACCAGCATAATGAACTTTACACATGGTCGTTTGCTGTTTGACTTTGTTCAATGCCTTTTGTATATATGGGACATAAGAAGCCAAATTGTGTATGCATCCACTCCCTCTTACAATGGAACCTTAGCATTAGATGTATTCTAATCCATTCAAGCATGTAGATTATTTGTTTATCCCTTGCTTCAAGAATTACAGCATTCCAACTTTCACAAATGTTATTAATGAGCACATCATTTTTTGAAGTTTCAGTGAAGGATGACCTTGCCCACGATTTAGCTGGCACCTTTGTTAACCAATCATAAGCTTCAACATTCAAGTCTCTGATTTTTCTCATATGTTGTTGAAATTGTGCTTCAGTGTATGCCATTGCAGCTTCCCACAATTCTATCTTTAGTTGCTGGCCTTTGAACCTCAGCTTAAAATTCTCATAAAGATGTCTCACACAAAACCTGTGATCTGACCTTTCCATAAGTGAATCAAAGGTTTCTACTAAACCCTATAAATGAGACATCAAAATGTCAATAAATGCAAGTGTGTGACTGCAAGTGTGTGTGTGTGTGCGCGACTGTAAGTGTGTGTGAGTGCAACTGTGTGAGTGCAAATGTGTGACTGCAAGTGTGTGTGGATACAAGTGTGTGGCTGCAAGTGTGTGTGAGTGCAATTGTGTGTGACTGCAAGTGTGTGTGTGTGTGTGTGTGTGGCTGTAAGTGTGACAATATGCAAGTGTGTGTGTGTGCCTGCAAGTGTGTATGACAATGTGTGTGTGTGTGGTTGCAAAATGTGTGTGAGTACAAGTGTGTGTGTGTATGTGTGTGAGTGCAAGTGTGTGTGGATACAAGTGTGTGACTGTAAGTGTGTGTGGATACAAGTGTGTGAGTGCAAGTTTGTGTGTGTGAGAGCAAATGTGTGTGACTGCAAATGTGTGTGGATACAAGTGTGTGACTGTAAGTGTGTGTGGATACAAGTGTGTGACTGTAAGTGTGTGTGGATACAAGTGTGTGAGTGCAAGTGTATGTGGATATAAATGTGTGTGTGACTGCAGGTGTGTGTGTGGCTGCAAAATGTCAATAAATACAAGTGTGTGACTGCAAGTGTGTGTGTGTGTGAGAGAGAGTGTGTGCAATTGTGTGTGACTGCAAGTGTGTGTGTGTGTGTGTGTATGTGCATGACTGCAAGTGTATGTGGATATAAATGTGTGATTACAAGTGTGTGTGAGTACAAGTTTGTGTCTGCAAGTGTGTATGTGTGTGTGTGACTGCAAGTGTGTGTGGATACAAATGTGTTAGATAAATTATACCTTTTGTCTGTCTGATATGAAGGTTATATCATGGTATGGCCTTACAGCTTCCATCAATTCTCCCATGAATCATTCCCAGGAATCTCTAGTCTCTGACTCCACTACTGCAAATGCAACTGGAAACATTTGACCATTACCATCAATGGACACTGCAATAAGTAGATGACTACCATATGGTCCCTTTAGGAAGCATCCATCTACACCAATTAGTAGCTTACAACCTACCTTAAAACCAGCTATCATTGCAGAGTAAGAAATAAAGACTCTTTGAAACCTTCTAACATTTTCAAAACCAGTGGTCTCAGTTTGCAGTTCAACTATGCTGCCAGGGTTAGTTCTTAATATTAAAATACAATAATCCCTCATTTTACCATACTGCTCAGCATCATTCCCCTCAATCATTTCTAATGCCTTTCTTTTTGCCCTATAGACTTTGTGTTTGGACACATCAATGTCCATATCAGCTGTAATGGTGCTCTTAAGTGTACCCAAAGGATTCTTAGGGTTCAACCTCACTTGTTCACAGTTTGTTTGCTAAGTAGGATGATGAGGCTTGTCCATTTGTATGAAACCATAAATAGTTAGTATGATCTGGCACATATGTCTTAATAATCAAGCAATCTTCATTTTCAGGTTTGCTTGCATGTATCCTCCAACCACATTCAGCCTTGCACACTGCAGTTATCCTATCTCCATCATTCCTTGTGAGCATGATATCAAACTTGTTTCTCAATGCTTTTTCCCTAAGAGCCAACCTAAAATCAGCAGCTGACCCAAATTTCATTCCTATTTCAAATTCTTTTTCACCAAAATCTCTTGAATGAATGTAGTCCTAATGCATAGAACCACTATCAATACCTTTATCATCAGATTCACATAAACTTATCAACTCAGTATTAGGACCATAATCACTACACATAGGAGGAATGAGTTATGTTTTTCCCACTGGATAATCCCACCCAAACTTAGCATTTGAGTTGACCTCATTTTCTGCCCCATTCAACAAGGGTGCAGTAATGTACAATTTTATAACAGAAGTTTTCATATGAGCTTCATGGTCATAAAACATTATAAACACATCTAAATCATACTTCACTTCTCTAAATTGTTAGCACTCATAGGGTACTTTGTAAAGCACTTCACTGATCACCCCATACCCCAACTCAGTTGTCATCCCTTGAATCTTAAGAAATGACATATTGTCAGAGTCTATTTTCTCAAACTGAGTTATATTTCCTCTTAGATATGTCATTGGGGGTGATTTCTCAAAGATACCACCATGATGAAGTTCAATAGTAAGCATAGCATCCATCTACAACAACAAGTGGGCTTACTTAAAAAATGTACATATACAACATTCAAATAGTGTATAGGCAGCAAATTTACAAATAGTAGAAATAATGCAATCATTAAACAATTAGAGCACATGTTCAGTGTGTATGTCAGTATCAACAAATAATTAGAGCACATGTTCAGTGTGTATGTCAGTATGCAATTACAATTTCAGTTATATAAATGGACCACTATAAACTATGCAATCAATAATGGTGGGTCAAAATTCAACACACAACAAGACCACTTCATATCATAAAAGGCCATTTGACTAACACAAAGGGACTACTATTTAACATAAAGTCAGTAAACAAATACATTTTATACTATTTGATGTAGACAACAACAACGTACAAAGTTTGATGCAAACAACACCAACATACAAACAAACAAAATGTCGATTAAGATTGAAAAGCAAAACACTATGACCTTTCAACAAAAAAAAAAAAATAGAAAAAAACATGATATTATCAAAAGTCTTTCAGCACAAAGAAACAAAAACAAAAAGATAAAATCACAGACCATCAAATATATATTCTTAGTCCCATACTTCATTATGTCGACTTAGACTTTGTAAAAAGCAAGAAACATCATTTATAGAGTTACTTATCCAAACTGCACGAGATATAAAAAAAATTGATGCACACAGAAATTAAAAAAATTAGCTGAATAGAGAAAGAGAGTTACTGATCACAAGTTGGGCTCTTTAACGCCAGCGTGATATAGGGTTTCACATATGTGAAATGTCACTTTTGTTGATTAGGTTTGCCGAGCACAGAGTATAGATGAACACCACAAATGGATGTTTGGGGGTCTGTGGCGCGAATAAACTGGTTGGTGGTGGTGATACAGTATAAGAGATAACATACCTTATCTCTTTGGTGTGCTGTCGAGCTCCCATTTGCTGTTGAGATTTTTCTTGCCACGTCAGCAAGCTAATAAGGTTAGTTGCTTCAAACGGTGTCGTTTCAGAGTAAGGGCAAATATGTCATTTTTCTTTTTTGGTGACCTGATGGGGTAATATGTAACAAAATCAAAGTCCAGGGGTTTTTTTTTGTACTCCAGGGGGGTTAGTTGCAAAACCCCAATAGTCCAGGGGGGTTTCTTGCATTTTACCCTAAATAATATACCGTAAATTTGAGAAATGCTATCAAGAGAGTCCTTAGGGACAAGTCTTTGAATTAACATTTTTATTAAAAGATTCATTTACTTTTTAGTTTTCACATATCTCGAAAATGGTTTCAATCCAACAAATTCAACAATTAATAAATGGAGAAGTCATGACTTTTGTCATGAGAGAGCTCTCCATGGCTATACCATATTAGGTATTAATTTTCAAATGGGCTAAGGATACTTATATAAAATGTTGAATCTCATTCTTAATGTATTTATTTCCTTTATTTAGAGTTTAGTCATTCATATCTCTCCTTTACCTTCTCAGTCTTTCTCTAAAAAATAAAAAATTAAAAAAATAAAAGGATTTTGTTAATATCAATAGGCTCCTCTCTGTCTAAATTGGCTTTCCAAATATGGCTTTGCCACTGTTATTTTGATAAAAATAGTATTATAAATATCTTAGTTTTCATTTTTAATTATTTTGATAAAAAGGAGAAGGAAAAAGAAGAAGTTATCTCAACATTGTTCAGTATCATCTTCGCAAAAATAAAATTATGGGTTTGCCACTGTTAACATGTCAAGTTCTAATCCAAAAGCTGAACTAATGTTATATTTTGAACCCATCATTATTCAAATTAAATAAAATAAGTAAAAAGATTTACAATAAATAAAATAAGTTAGAATTTAAAAAACCAATTGAACAAACACTACATAATTTATTCGAATTATTTGGTTGATTTCATTCTCAAATATTCATCATAATAAACGATCTGGTCAAATGAGTTAAATATTATCATCGTAACGTTTGTTAACTGATTACTAGTAACATAAATTTCAAACATGCATGAATTTAAAAAGTTACTTAGTGTGGTTTTAGTTAATTGAGGATACTTAAGTTTAAAACATTGAAAAATATTTTCATGCATTTTCAATCAACTCACAAAAAAAAAAATTTAGTGGATAATTGCAAAATATTGTGAAAATGAGGAAATAAAACCTTATTTTAAATCAATTTCCAAGAATTTTGAAAATATAATAAAATTTCCCAAGAACTATAAAAAGGTGTTTTAAAAATCCCTTTTCTAAAAATTTGGTTTAAAAAACACAACCAAGTAATTTTAAATTTTGTTTTCTAAACTAAAAAACTATTACAAAAATTATAAAACCAACAATGTCTTTAGGATTTTTTTTTTTATTTAAAAAAAAGTACAAATAAAAAGAATTTTGACAATCCGTATAAAAGAACCACACCGAACCCGAGTCCGATAGGCTTTCTATAATTTTACAAGACCAGTTACTCTCAGAGCATTTCCTCATCTCTCGGGCTTTTGCCCTTTTCTCTCTGGGGTTGGTTTTTTCTCTCTTCGTTTCGCTAGGGTTAGGGTTTCTGGTTCTCTCGAAATTCTCCATTTAATTTAGGTCAGAGTTTCAAAGAAATTTGTTTCTAAACACTATTCCTCAATCTTCACCTCTATTGATGTACAATATATCCATATAATTGAAGCCCTAGAACTGTTCTTGGATCGATGGCGAACCGTACTGACCCAGCGGCGAAGAGCATAAGGGGGACGAACCCACAGAATCTGGTGGAGAAGATTCTGAGGTCGAAGATATACCAGAACACCTACTGGAAGGAGCAGTGCTTTGGGCTCACCGCCGAGACGCTCGTCGACAAGGCCATGGAGCTCGACCACCTCGGAGGCACCTTCGGTGGCAACCGCAAGCCGACCCCCTTCATGTGCCTCGTCATGAAGATGCTCCAGATCCAACCTGAGAAGGACATTGTCGTCGAGTTCATCAAGAACGAAGATTACAAGTCAGTACTTTTTTTCCGAATGCATATATATATATATATATATATATATATATATATATATATATATATATATATATATAAGTACATCAGTAGTCAGAATCAATACACTAGATACAAGCACTAATTTTGTTGTTTCTGTATCGACAATTACAGTATTTCTAATTCAATCAAGGACACGCACACATATATATGCATATATGTACATTAGCAGTCAGAATCAATTCACTAGTTACAAGCACTAATTTTGTTGTTTCTATATTGACGATCACAGTAATTCTTGACATTGTCTTGGAGCAATTTATCACTAAATTTGTGCAGTTTAATATGAAAATGTATTGGGTGTTAAAATGATTTATTTCCTTTGTAATGGATTAGGATTTTGAAACATTTTTTAATCTTGGGTTGGATTTTTAGAGGGAATGCATCTATAATTAGGTAACTGTTGATTATGAATTATTTAATGCAACAGGGATTTTACATTGTTTATTCATGAAATTGATCAATGGTATTGTATTTTCATTAAGTCGGTGTAGATTTTTTTTTGCCAGTGAGTCAACTACAATGAAGATTTGGTGTTCTGATGTATATGGTTTGAAATTGTATATTGTCGAAGTTGTCCAAAAAATATTGTTTTATTGAATGAGAATGAATAATTCGTGTTACTTTTTAATGGGTTGGTATGGTGAGCCAGTTTAATATTTAATCATACTGGTTATATAAGATTCTGAGATGATGCATTCTTGATTTAGACCAAAATAATATATGTCTAGATTTTCTTTTGAATAAACTGTAACTCAAATTAAATGAATTAATTTTTATATTTAGATGTAAAAAGGTATTTAAAGGAAAATAAAATTTGTACCATTTTATCCCTATAAAAATGAGTATATGATAAACGTATATTTTCGTCAGTTGGCAAACATATTTTATATATATATATATATATATATATATATATATAATTCCTCTTATATAAGCCAAGTACGTCTGTCTATATCTCATACAACTTTTTTATATAAATCAGAGCATAGCATCGATTGTGGTATGCATAGGATGAAAGGGAATGAGAGAGTGATAGATAACTTCAAATAAAAGACTGATGGAATGTGGTTTGTGCAGTAGAGTCAGTAGACCAAATAGAATAATGAAAGACTGATAGGTTGTGGCTTGCATAGAGTAAGACTGATATATAATTTCGAGCGGAAGAGGAGAGACATAAAAATATGGAGGGGTAATTTTGGCAAGTTAAAAAAAGAGTAGGAATCAGTTACCAAATCCCCTCGAATCCTTCCATTTTTCCCATTCCCATGAAATTCCAACAAAAACCAACCTTTTTAAAATCCTATCTTTTCCAAACATCTGAAATCTAATTTCAAATCCAATTCCGGTGAAATCCTTCCATTCCAAACACAACATTAGTGATTAAGAGTGAAGATCCGATTTAATTCTTTTTTTGTACGTTAATTCTCTTTCTTCTTCTCTAGAATTTGATTTTGGAACAGTTTTTTACCCTGGGATTCGTTCAAAATTTTGCATTATATTTGATCATTTTTATGACTTCCATTAACTTGCCTGGTTTAATGGGTCAAATTTTGTAACGATGTATCCTTCGGTTTTAGTAAAACAATTGATTTTGTATTCTCCTCGGGTTTTATTTTGCTCTTTCATGCTTCAACAGTTTCTGATTTAAATGACGGACGACACTTGTAATTCATCTTATATTGCGAACCTAAATGGGGTCCATTCTGTTATGAATCTAACCGGTGGTTTTAATAGACAGGATGACATATTTTTGGTTTCATATATGAAATTTTTAGAACATTGGTTAAAAAAAAAAAAAAAAAAAAAACCAAAAATGAAAAAAAGGAGGAGGAAGAGTTGGCTGAATGATAGTCGGATTAGTAATCTTCTTGCTCATGGTTGGCACCTGTACTTGGTGCTGTTATAGAGTCAAGTACACGTGTGCATATTTTAGAAAGGGAATCATATAATATAATATATCTATAGAAGGTAACATAAATGTGAAAGCGATTTGCTCAGGTATGTTTTGGTGGATAACCAAAATGGTTCTAAATTTTTGGACTTCATGAAAAGTTTTAAAACAACTGAGTCCCAAGTTTTTGAATTTTGTGGAATTTTTATATCTTGTTTTATTTTGCTTGACAAATTATAAAATTTATTCATCTTTTTAATCGTTTTTTTTTTTAGTTATGTTCTTGATTAAATACGTGTCATGTGAATGCAAGTTCTTGTTTCTTGATATGTTAGTCTCTACGATTTAACAAGCATTGTTTGGCTGCAGATATGTACGGGTGCTTGGAGCTTTTTATTTACGTCTTACAGGGACTGACATTGATGTTTACCGGTATCTAGAACCTTTGTACAACGACTATCGAAAATTGAGGCGCAGATTAGCTGATGGGCGTAAGAATTTTTGCCTCTTAGTATTCCTCTCTTATATCTGCCGCAATCTTTTATTAGTATTTATTTATTTATTAATATATCAACTTATCATGTCACGGTCTTGCTTTAATTGTAGAATACAGTTTGACACACGTGGATGAGGTCATTGATGAGCTCTTGACAAAAGATTATTCCTGTGATATTGCTATGCCACGTATTAAAAGAAGGTACTCGATGGACTTGATACTTTTTTAAGTGAATTTTGTGAATGTTGTTTTATGATAATGATTTCTTATGTTTTATCCCGTATAATCACTTACCAAAAGAAAAAAAAAAGAAGTTTTATCTGTATAATCTCTAATATAATTTTTTCTTTTGGCATCTATTCTTATTAGTTTTTTCTGGTCCAATACTCCAATTAGAATTGTTTGTCATTGTTTTCTGAATCATTCTTTGGATGTCTTGAATAGCGACTGTTGTACTTATTGTGGATAAAGTATGCGTAGAGCTGTGGATGAATTAAGCTATTAAATAGTAGCTTAGACTTGGATTGACAAGAGGCTGATGGGCTTGTTTCGGTGAATAGACCAAGCTCCAGTGGAACTGTTGGTTCACTAGGCACATTTAGGATCATCCTCTTCTTTGTTCACGTAATAATCCACCTTTCTTGGATACTGCAACTTACAAGCCATTTATTTTAGTTATTATTTCACAATCCTTTGCAAAAGGATATTAAGTTGAAATATTTTTGGATGATGGATTTGAAGACAACAATTTGTTGGTAGCCTCTAGAAATGTAAAAGTAATGTCAGTACTGTTTTAGAGGATGGGGATGGGCTTTGGAACTCCTCTTAACTCTAGATCCTCCTCCTGTACTAGAAATTAGATTATGTGTTGTGGTAGAAGATACAGGGTCTAAGTACTGTTTCCTGTTGCTCATCCTCCTTGTGAATCCTTTAGTTCTTTCCTCTTTTTTTTTTGGTTATTTGTATTTCCTCTCTTTTGCATATTTCATCCCATAGTTGTTAAAGGCTCAAGGCGCACAAAAGCGCAAATGCCTCCTGGAGCCTGAGGCGCAAGGCGAGGCGCGCGCCCGACTGAAGCAAGACGCACGTTGAAAAAAAAATAAAACAATACCCACCTAATAAAGAATTAAAGATGCAATAGTATATATATAAAGATGCAAAAGTCAACTAAATGAATTACTTAAGTTCAATATTCAACATAAAGATGTCAAAGCCAACTAAATCAAGTACTTAAATTCAACAGTGAATAATAAAAAAAGTGTATTTGATAATGTATTTTAAATCCATGCTTCAGTGCATTTTATAATGTATTTTAAATATCACGAAAATCATGTATCACTTTAAATTTTGTAAGATTTTAAATCACAGTAACTTCACATTTTAAATCACAGTAACTTCACTAATGCAAATTTCACCATTTGCACCATCGTATAAAATTTAGCTCTTTAAAATTTTCAGTATTCATCCTCTATTGAATAATAGAAAATCTATTGATCATGTTATGAAACCCAAAAAAAAAAAAAAAGACTTTAAGATGCTGCAAGTTTCAAGGGAAAAGTTCACTGATAAACTCAACAAATAAAATAAAAAAAATAAATAAATAAAATAAAAGTTCACAAAAAAAAAAAATAGCAACTGTTATTTTAAGATTAAAATAAAATAGCACAAGATCAAGATAAAAAATAGCAACAATGCAACAACTATGCTCCAGAGTCTCCAGACTCGAGAAAAAAAAAATAAAATAAAAATAAATAAAAAATAAAAAGAAGAAGAAAAGAAAAAAAAAAAATCTGCCAAACTTGACTCGGCCGAGAGAAGAAAAGAAGAAGAAGAAGAAAAGAAGAAGAATAGAGGAAAAAAAAAAACTGATCCGGCTTCCGAGATCCGAGAAGAGAAGGAGCCTAGGAGGAGAGAAGAAGAAGAGAAGGAGGAGGAGAGAAGAAGAAGAGAAGAAGAAGAGAAGTTGTAGAACTTACCGGCAGAGTTGCTGACACAGATCCGGCAAATCCAACGCAGATCCGGCTTCCGAGACAAGTCGTCCTCGTCGCTGACTGCCTCTGTCTTCTTTGTTTACTTTTTTGTTCTCTTTTTTGTTTTTTCTTATGTTGTAACTTGTAACTATCATGTTTTAATTAATAAAATAATAATATAATAAAAACAATAACAATATAACAAATAAACAAAGAATAAACAAACAAAATAATACAAAACCAACCAGGCGCGCCTTTAGAGAGCCTTTCGCCTAGCGCCTTTGAAGTAAAGGCGCACGCCTTCATTAACCCAAGCGCCTTAAGTCAATAGAGGCGATGTGATGGTGCCTGGAGGCGCCTTGCGCCTCCGGCGCCTTTGACAACTATGTTTCATCCTGGATCTTGATTCCCTTTACCTGTTGGGAATGAGCTGTCAAATTTTCTTTAATTAATTTGCAGTGTTATTGTTATTGGGATTAGGTTTCTCTTTACTTTTCCATCTGGTTTGATATATGTTTTGGAACAGTTATTTTGGCATGTTGTATATAGGTTCTCTTTCCGTTTAAAACTGGATATGCAAAACAAGCTCATATTAAGCTGAATTAAAGCGTTTGAGGATATTAAAGTCAAGTTTAAACAAGCATAGTGAGACTAGACTTGAGCCCAAGCTGGGAAGGAACACCCTCAGAATTGACATAAGCCTGAACCACCCAATGGTCAACTTGATTGTCTTACTTGCATGTCTAATTTGTAACATATTTTTCTATTGAAGTAGGACGTAGTATAAATTTCTCCGAATTACTGTTTATAATGCATCAGAATTAATATTATGGGCCGATTGGTGGTGATCAATTGTGTGGAATGCATTTTTACTGATATTATGCATCCCCTATACTTTGATTGGAGGTGTCACTGGGAAAAAGTTTCTTGTAGGAATGAGGAGATGTAGAACATTAGTAGATGATAGAAAAAGGGCCTCTCGGATCATGACTAGCCCGATCCCAGGTCAAAGAATTTCTCTCGGTTTTTGGTATTGGGTCTGGTTAGTTATAGGTCTATATGAAGAGTCCGGACCTCGTTTTGAACTAGTTAGCCGTGTCTAAAATTAAATTTTAGTTTGTAATATTTCACAAACGTCTTGTGGAAATCCTTTCATAATTTTTTCTATCGTACTCTTATTTGTACCATGTTTGTTTTTAGCGATAATTGTATTTTGACTATGCTTGTTAACTTTTTCATGGAAAATTTATCATTTACTTTCTATACTGCCAGATGGACTATTGAATCCATTGGTTCACTGGAACCTAGAAAAAGTGCTCTAGAAGATGATTTTGAGGAGGAAGAAGAAAAGGATGAGGATGACCAACTAATGGCTGGATTAGATGCTGATGCCCACGAGAAGGTCAATACAATTATGTTACTTTTCTAGTTTTCTTGCTAAGAGTCTTTGTAAACAGTCATTTGCTGTTTTGTTTTTATTTTTGGTTGGTTGGGGTTCTAATGATTCGGTAATGGTTTTGACCTATAACAGGATTATTATCGGGGGCGAAGCCCTACAAGGGAAAGAGATAGGGATAGAAGACGTGATAGTCACAGATACAGGTATGACTTATGTTTGTGCTTTTTGTACCATCTCTTTTGTTCCATGTGCAATGAACTTATTTCTTATCAGCTATTTCTGTTTCTTGGTCCTTGCTTGAACATTTTCCCGCATTGCTTAGGTAAAAGATGAGTGCTTCGCCTTTGAATTTTCATCTGCATGCATAAGTGCTATACATCAGTAACCAGAAAACTGTATCTTGTCACTCTTTTTTTACTTTGGGAACTGGGAACACTTCTATGTACCAGATTTTACTCTGGTGCCTACTATTATAAGCGACATGCATATTAGGGAGTTTAGGACTAATGTTGGAAATTTTGGTCTTATAGTCACATTTTAGCTTATGAAAGCTGAACTTAACTTTCAGCAGGATTTATAATCAGGGTCCCTCACTTTTGAGTTAATGTGAGCATGCACAGATGTGGCAAAAATTATTCATATAGATGTACAAAGCCAACTGGATGAAACCAATTAAAACTTCTTCTTTTTTTGAGAAGTAAAGCCGATTGAAACTTCTTTGCCTTCTCTATTTCTTATTTTAATTATTCAAGGTTGTGTTCATTTTTGTTTTTGAAATTAATTGCACTGTGGACATCCTTTTTCCCCAAATATAAATGGATCTTTGCTTCTGAACATATAGATGTGTGCTTGGCTCCTTTCAAGTTAGCTATGTCCGACTTTTTCTTGGAACCACTTCCATCTAATCATAATAGCCAAAAAATGTTAATAGTTAAATGAGGGTTTGGGATTACAAATTGGTATTTCTGTTTAGTAGATCAACTTATGAAAAAGTTTTCTTTGAATATATGAGGTAAACCATTTTACTTATTCAATTGAAGCACGATTGAATATTTTTAGACTCTATTGATAATTAATTATTACTACCTATGTCCCATGTTAGTAGTCCATTATTCCCTTTTTGGATGTCCCAAAATAGTTGTCCCCTTAGAAAAGTTAAAGCAAATAAACTTTATCTTTCCATTATCGTCCTTTATATTTTCAAAAAAATTCAAACTTGGTAACTATATATATTTAAACTGAAAAGGACAAGTTGGTAATTTTAAAAGGAGACAGTGCATTAATTGCATGTCCCCTTACAAACTCAACTTCTAATTCTAAGCATGGGCATCTAATATGGGACTGAGGGAGTATTATAATATTAATGTTTTGATAAGTTATATGCATGAACCCATATGCACCTATTCTTCAGGGGTAGGCACCACTCAAACTACATACCTGTGGTAGCATGTGGAATATGAATGGCCGAATCATCAAATTGTAGATTTACGAGAATGTATACTTCTAGATGGGACCCATCAAGTGGGATTTAATATCCATTAGTTATGATGAGTGTAATGTTCTAGTAGTAGCTAATGCATCAAGGGAGTGCTCTCTGCTAGTCTGTCATTTGAGATACTGGTCCTGCTTCTTATCGTGGCAATGTTTGATCATGATGAGAATATGTTCCATTATGTTGTAATTGAAATGGTCTCCTTGTGTGCACCCCCCTAATAGTCATTTTAATGAAGTTCCCCCCTCATCGATTCATTTGTATCTCTCTCTCTCTACCCCTACAAACTAAACCAAAAGGAAAAATAATCTCTGTGAAATGTTATGGTGCATATTTATTTACATTTTGTATCATATTCCCCCTGTAGTGGGTAATTTTTTTTGTGATAAGTAAAAGTTTACTTAAATTTTTTTTTTTTTTTTTTTTTTTACCATAATCGAACTGTGCCCTGTAGTGGGTAAATTTATAATGTGGAATCTGTGATCTCTCTCCGTGGAAGCTGTTGTTGATTAAAGAAAGAAATCAATACATGCATATAAACAGATGAACACATGGGCATGCGCGCGCACACACATACATACGTTTCAAGGCTTTCTGCTACCATGGCGTTTAAAGCCATTGTGGGTTTAAACAAGCTTCCTACAGTAATATATTGTGATCCTGCCAGGTTTCTCTGTACTGGCAGTGTGCAGCTGAGAAGTATGATGGATCACACAATTCTATTGTTGTGTAACTGTGTAACTGCAGTTTCAGTGGTTTCTTCTCCAATTGCACTTGAAATGATTGCATTTCTTATTTTGTAATATCAAATTATTAAAACTTCTGTTATTTATTTACTACTATTTTGTAATGGCTGCTATATATTCATGTCGTGCACGTAATCAGTTTCCACCTTATATTACCAGTTTTCAATTATGATTACGGCACTGGCTTAAAAGTCGGTATAATGATGTTGCTCTTTTTGTTATGTCATGTTCAGATTTCCCTTATGTTCTCATTGAAACTTTCTTTTCTTTCTCTTTATTTTTCTTTTCCCACTGTTCCTTTGTTCCTTTAGGTTGTAAGACCTTATTTCCCCACCAAGGGCTTTGTGGTCCGAGTGTATCCTAGGAAGCATAAACATGGACAAGAGATTAGGACAAAATACGGGGACATTGATAAGGCAAATATTTTTCTTACTCTGGCATTCTTATTGTTACTTACCTTTTGCAGGGATCGAGATTACGACAGAGATAGAGATTACGACAGGGAACGCGGAAGAGGGCGTGATAGGGACCGTGATAGAGATAGGGACAGAGACAGGGAAAGGGACAGGGATCGTCATCGCCTGAGAGAAGACAGGGATTATGGTCGTGATAGGGAGCGTGAGAGGGAAGGCAGGGAACGGGATAGGCGAGACAGGAGACGAAGAAGCCACTCAAGGAGCCGAAGTAGGAGTAGGGATCGCAAGGATCGTGATGGTGGAGATAACCGTAAGAGGCATGCTCGCAGCAGTCTGAGCCCCAGAAGGCGCGGGGATGGGCCAGAAGATGGGGGCACTCGGGAAGAACCAAAGAAGAAGAGAGGAAAGAAAGAGAAGAAGAGTGATGGAACAGACCATCCAGACCCAGAGATAGCAGAAGCAAATAGACTTCGGGCTTCCCTTGGGTTGAAACCGTTGCAGGGCGTTTGAATCTGCTGGCTGACTAGTTTCTCGGAACATGGATGGAACATGAGGCGAGGCGTGTGGATCTCACTACTGTTTTCAGTTCCTGTAAACACAAAAATAGGCTAATGCAGGACCTTAGCTTTGTTGCCTGGTTATTGCTTTGCCTGTTTTACCTTTGGCGTCAGATAAATCATTTGTTCCTATAACTTCAGTTTTTAATTGGAATTAGCTACTTGTTGGGGTCTGATCTCAAGCGTGGACTTGGTATTAGCAGACAACTTGAACTTGAGATACTATGGGTAAGCTTGGTTCAGTCTTTTGAGAACTGAAAATCAGAAATTTGTACAAAAATTTGCTTTGTTGACCGTTTTCGAGAAAATTCCTTTCATGGTTTGTCTTAAAACAGTTTTATGTTTTTTTGATTTATCGAGAATTGTTTCTTGGATTTGAATATGCCGTGCATTTGATTGGAAAGCGGATCATTCCACGTGAATACAAGAAGTTCTTTATCTGCATTTTTGAGGACTTAAATGTCACGTTAATGTTGTTTTGCAATTTCCATCTATTTATAATGCTTACCTTTCAACTAAAAAAATATTTCCATCTATTTATAGACACAGAGTTGTTTTGCAATTTCCATGTACTTTAGAGACAAGTTGAAACGAGATAAATTCAAAATTGCGGAAGGCCATGAAAATAAGACCTTGGTTTATATTGAGGAGTTTTTATTTTTTTATTCATTTATTTTTATGAGTATGGTGTAATTTGTTTAAAACTGAGGATTTTTTTCCCTTTACTTTTATACCTTTTGAATAAAAAAATAATGAAAAATGATTCTTTCATTGAATAGTTGTAGTGAATTGTTAGATATCTTTTAATTAGTCTATGCAACAAATAAGGAAATAGAACCCTTCACTTAATTGTATTTGATATAAATAACAAATTATAAATTATTCGAATTCTCATAAATATTACTATTAAACAAAGAATATAAGGGTATTTTTGGCACACCAAGAGTGTTATATGCATTGTAAACATATTATAAGTGTTTGGTGTGTACTTCACCCTTATTTTATTCTTACCAAATATATATATATATATATATATTTTTAAAAGGTAATATTCTGTCTGTGTCGTATATGTAATTAGTAGTATTTAGTTTATGTAGGCCCTTTTTTTATTATTTTTTATTTATTTAGAAGAGCCATCTGATCGCCTAATATGATTTTGGATCTTTGATTATTTATTTATTTATTTTTATCAATTATGAAATGGAAGGAAAGGAAAATATTATTGCTATTTTACATGTTTGGATATTTACATTGATGGTATATAAATTTCACTTTAGGGATCTGATTTTCTGGAATGATGATATGAATACGTTGTATTAATTTTTTTTTTTTCCCGGGTAATTACAATCGTATTCATCTGACATATGCATATATTTATTAACGAAAAATCCCAAATAATAAAGTTTATATTGAGGAGTTTTATTTTTTTATTAATTTATTTTTATCAGTATGGTGTAATTTGTTTAAAACTGAGGAATTTTTTCCCTTCACTTTTATACCTTTTGAATAAAAATAATATGCTACTATTAAACAAAGAATAAAGAGTTTGTGCTTGAAATGGTTTGCCTTACTTCTATTTCTTTTTCGACGATAAACAATATAAAAGATACATTAAATAAAAAATTCTAAATATATTTATTGGGAATATAAATATATAGATATAATAGATGGGGGTAGAATTGGTAAAGGAAAATCTGACCCAATAGGGTACATAACTGCTACATATAATTAATTTTAGAGGGGTGTTTTTGTCCAATATTAAATTCGGACATAAGATTATTACCTGCCATGTACACTAATACCATTCCAATTCAGATTCGACTTAAACAATAACATACCTTTAATATCAATAACATATAACCCTTCTCTAATATTAATAATAATATTCATTGTATTTTCAACTTTTTTTCTTTCGCCCCATCTAATTTCAAAGTTCTGTATTTCATTCTCAGCTCTCTTGCTTGTGTTTTTACTTTGTTCGGTGACGAATTCACGTCGAAGGTATGATTTTGTTTCTACTTTTAATGTACAATATGTAAAAAATGATTTGAATTATCAAAAATCTATTTAATTTTTTCCTACAATTATATATATATAAACTCATGTGTGTATTTCCGTACCCATGGGAAGAGGATTGAAATCCATCAATCAAAGAAAACTCGAGAAAACGAGAAGAAAAGATGGATTAATTTTATGCATTACGTTACGATCTGAAAACAGGGCATTGCGGGCTAACCCGCTCTACCCGATCAACCGCAAATTTACAAATTTGGTCTAGATGACATCGGGTCAGGGTCGAATTGGTCCTCATCGGTTTGGTTTCGGGTTATTACAATATTACTAATTTAACCTTGCATGTTACATGGACTATATATAAAAGTTAGGGTTTCAGTTTGCCCTTCTCTCCACTTCAGCCGCTCTTCGTCTACGGCCCATTCCCATCCCTACTCCTCTTTCAGTCTCTTCTGCGGTGGTACTCTCTTCTCTGTCTATCTCTGAACTTAGATTCATGGTTAATAGATTTCGAAGCTCATAATCAGTGAAATTCGAGACTCTGATAATTTTTTTATATTATATTTGTATGGAATGATTATCCGGAAAAACTTAGGGGTTCGATATGTATATAAATGTTTGAATATCAGATGATGTGATTGATGTGCTTGTTTAATTTTTTTTTTTTTTCGTTTTTGTGTTTCCTGTAGAGTAGTTCATTCAATTGCGCTATCCGATCTAATTATACGTTATATTTCTATATATATTATGTTATATTTGATAGTATAGCATGTGATTTTTGCAGTTTTTTTAGTCGAATTGGTAATTCCTGTTTTTTGGGTTTTTATCATTTGGGGTCGACCAATTTCTTTGCAAGATCTCGAATGGCATTTAATTTCATTTTTAGTCCCTTGTTTAATAAACGCCGCAGGGTAGGGTCTGAGACGTCCTGTACCAAACCCACCCCCTTGCCATTCCTAAACTCATCTCGACTAAATTCCTATCACTTTTTTTGGGTTTCTGTTAATATTTTCCTTATGCTCTGTTTTTATTCATATATAATACATATATTTGTACAAATTTATGCATACCTTTAATTAATGCAACCGTGATATGTTGCAGGTTGTTGCATTTTTTTTTTCTTGAGATTGAACGGCTGGCTGATTGATTGATCATGGCGACTTTTGCTAAACCAGAAAATGCTCTGAAGCGCGCTGAAGGCAAGTGTCATGTTTTTCTTTTCCTAAATATTTATATCCTTTTGAATAAGTGTCCTAAAAATAACTGGAATTATAACTCCAGTCACTGATATGTACGAGTATCTTTTTACTTGTGTTAATATAGTTGTACAAATAATTTTTTTTGGTTGCCTTGTCAAGCTATATAATGTAGCCCTTCTTTTCCTGATTTGAGACCAACTATTTGAAAATAATGGAACCCTTCTCCTTTTTTCTGGCTTGGGGCACCCCAAATAGTTGGAAAGAGGCTTTGATGTGTTGAAATTCATATGTATATATATATTTCTGACGTTGATTTTTCCTTGCTTTTGGAATTTTACATGCTCCGGTAGTTAATTATTTTCCAAGGTTTTGTTGAGTTGAAAATTTAATGTGATTTTGTGGTAAAAAATTTGGATGCAGAGTTGATCAATGTTGGTCAAAAGCAAGATGCCTTGCAAGCACTTCATGATCTTATCACCTCAAAGAGGTACAGGGCATGGCAGAAGACCCTTGAGCGGATAATGTTCAAGTACGTCGAGCTGTGTGTTGACATGAGAAGGGGTCGGTTTGCTAAGGATGGCCTGATCCAATATCGCATAGTATGTCAGCAAGTGAATGTTACTTCGTTGGAGGAGGTAATCAAGCACTTCATGCAGCTATCCACTGAGAAAGCTGAATTAGCTCGTAGTCAAGCACAGGCCTTAGAAGAAGCTCTCGACGTTGATGACCTTGAAGCTGATAAAAGGCCAGAAGATCTAATGCTAAGCTATGTCAGTGGTGAGAAGGGTAAGGATAGGTCTGACCGTGAGCTTGTGACCCCATGGTTTAAGTTCTTGTGGGAGACCTATAGAACAGTTCTTGAAATACTAAGGAACAACTCAAAGTTGGAGGCTCTTTATGCGGTAATTGCTGCTACAAACAGATTTTTTTTGGAAACTTCAGTAGATCTATTGTTCATTGACATCCCTTCTTATCATATTTTCAAAAGTATGCATTTGGTTTAATTAAATGCTAATTCATCTTGCTGTACCTACATTGGAATGCTAACAATAGTAATGGAATCAGTCTCAATCAGATAAATTATCTGGGATGGTTTGTCAGTCATGCTATATGGACTCAGGTAGTTGTGTCCTGAGTTGGTAAATTTCAAAGCAGGTAACTGTCTAAGGTCGAATCTATCAAACCTAAACCTTAGGACATTGTTAAATATATATATTTTTAATATTCTTCTATTATTGATCTCGCATGATGTCTTTTATGTGTCAATATCAGTAACTTTGGTGTTCAAGTAATAATGTAAAAGAAAACAGTGCAAGGGGGGTTTTGTGTAAATATTTAGTATTTCATATGAGAGATATGTACTTCACACACATAGATGAATCCCTGTAACATATTTTGTCATTTTTTATTTTTTGCATTATATTTTATATGATGAGACAATTTTCCTTTGTGTAAGAGTTAAATTTGCTACCATTTTCTTCAATCAAAACTGTAGTGAGTGCTTCAGCATGCTTTATTTAGTTGATACATTATGCTGAAACAGTTGGATACTATGTCAAGGACTGATGTGGTCTCTTATTTAGCTTGAAGCCGCCCGAGACATTTAGTTGTGTGGAATTCTGTTATTTATTTTTATAATCTTAATAGAAATGTCTTGTTCACTTTCTCTCTTTCCCTCAATCCCTTACCCTTTATTTCTTCGAGAGTTATTATCTTGGGTCAGTTTGTCTCACTGAAACTCAGTATAGTCATGGAATTGTATTTCTTTTCACATCAGTTGAGGTCATCATAACAAAAACATGGTGTTTGCTTTATGAACTTAAATTTGGAAAACAACAGCTTTCTCTATATCAGTAAGATGAGGTAACAAGGTTTTTATTAATCAACTTATAAAAAGTAAGGTTTTTATGAAATAGATCAGCTAAGAAATGGTGAGGGGGCAACATGCAGGATAGTTAACCTATGGTGGCTTTTAGCAAAAACATATCCAGTGGAAAATGCCTTCTTAGGCTTTTGCAGAGTATGCTGGGATATACCATCCCAGTTTGTAGTTTCGTGACTATAAACCAGTTTGAGAGCCTGTTGTTCCTATTATAGTTTGGGATGGTATGACTTTGCAGCTAAATCTAAGTGAAGGGGCTATGGTGGAATGTGTCTATGATTTTAATATGGACCAGGAATGGATGATATTAAAATCATTCATTAGCATGTTATATTTATAATTTTGTCAATTCATGGCATGACAGGATTCTGAGAGTTCTATTAACTTCAAATTTTGTTTGTAGATGACAGCACACCGTGCTTTCCAGTTCTGTAAGCAATACAGACGGACAACAGAGTTTCGGAGGCTGTGTGAAATCATTAGGAATCATCTGGCAAACCTTAACAAATACAGAGACCATCAGAGGGATCGGCCAGACCTATCAGCTCCAGAAAGCTTGCAATTGTATCTTGATACAAGATTTGAGCAGTTAAAGATTGCCACTGAACTTGAACTCTGGCAGGTCTATTTATGTTTTCATTTATATATTCATAGATATCAATGTCATATATAGATTTGATTATGTATTTTGTTGTGTTCTAGACATTTTTTTGTTTAGCTTTGTTGGCACATGATTGTTTCTTGCAGGAAGCTTTTCGTTCTGTGGAAGATATACATGGATTGATGTGCATGGTTAAGAAAACCCCAAAGCCGTCCTTGATGGTTGTTTATTATGCTAAGTTAACAGAGATATTCTGGGTTTCGTCTAGCCATCTTTATCATGCTTATGCGTGGTTCAAGCTCTTCTCACTTCAGAAAAGTTTCAATAAGAACCTAAGCCAAAAGGATCTGCAATTAATTGCATCATCCGTTGTCTTAGCTGCCCTCTCAGTTCCTCCCTATGACCACACACGCGGTGCTTCTCATTTGGAGCTTGAACATGAGAAAGAGCGCAATTTGAGGATGGCTAATCTGATAGGATTCAATCTTGAGCCTAAGCTTGAGAGTAGAGAAGTGGTAATGTCAATCTTTCAATTCTATTTTCTTTATATTGGTTTTTATTGGTTTTTATAATACAGTTTCCTCATTTTGAATTTGGATCATTTTCCAGCTTTCAAGGTCATCTCTTCTCACTGAACTGGTAAGATCAAATGTATCTGTTTTATCATATTTTTATTTGGTTATCTATATATATACTGGTGGGTTGGATGCCAGGATGGGGTTAATTTTTATCATTAATACATTAATGGCTTGTTGGTTGGTAAATGTTTTAAGGTTTTATATGCCATGTGTGACACATTATGTTTATATAGTTTTTAACTATTTGAGTCTACATTCTGAACTACTGGTTGTGTATTAATTTAGTTTTTGGTGATATATTACTTGGAACTTGTTCATATTTGTCTTAGCCTTGTGAGTGGAGACTGCTGGTTGCTGAGTGGACAATTTTGGGTTTGGCAATGTTATTAATTCCAAAAAGCAAACTATTGAAAAGGAAAAAGTTAAAGAAAGGAAAAGAGAAGAAACTATAGCTTTATTTTACTGCTCTGAAACATCAGCTTTCTTATCCTCCTAAATATTGTTCTCTCCTTAGTGGTCATTTGGTTATATTAAGCTCCTAGATTCTTCAGTTCTAATGAAAAAATGGCTGTCCTAAATTGCTGTATGAGGCATAATTAAACATTATTAATTTTGTAGTAATTTTCTTTATAGAAGAAACCTTTTTGACACATGCTGCAATTTGAACTGGCTGAATCAAATCTATACCAAAGCCCAAAATAATCAATGGGCAAGTATAGACTGGTTTTTCAGCATAGCGTTTGGGTTGGGTTTAAGAAAGCCCCAAGTTCATTCTTTCGGGGCTGCTTTATGCCTGGATCTCTAGGTACATATTGAGTTGATATATGGGAATAATCCTATTATTTCATGCAAATACCCAAAAGTAAATTTGAATCTTTAAGCCCAATGAGTTGAATCTGAGATATTTGATTTTTTAGCCATCATTTCAGCCAAGTAAATTGTGTGGGTTCGCTATATACTTTTTAACTCTAATCCTTATCATATATTCTTTCTATTTACAGATTGTTACAAGTTTTTATACTACTTCTTGCAAGTTGTTTCAATTCTTCAGATTGTTGATACCTTTCTTTGTAAAATATGCTTTTAAGGTGTTCCAAATTCAAATAATGAATGTATTAATAATGCATGAGAAAAGAGTATTGTATTTAGTGTTATTAAAGGCTCAAGGCGCAAGAGGTCCTTTGGAGCCTAGGTGCGAGGCGCATGGTGAGGTGCGCGCCTGAGTGAAGTGAGGCGCACAATTGAAAATTTAAACTACCATAATAGCATTCATATCTCACAAGTCATATCAATATTCTAAAAATTAATATCAAATATAAAAAAGTAAATCCATCAACTATATAAGCATTCCAGAACCATAAAATATAGCACAAATTTGTTTTCTTGAAAGGCAAAATAGAGTACAAAAAGAAATAAATCTATTAAAAAAACTGTTAACAAGAAAAGGAAAAAAAAAAAAATAGAGCCAAAAAAAAAAAAAAAAAAAAAAAAAAAAAAGAGGTAGAGACAAAAGAAGTAGATGAAGATAGAGAAGTAGATGAGAAAAGAGAGAAAGTGTTAAAGAAGAAAAAGGAGAAAAAAATAGAGCCCAAAAAAATAAAAAGACAGAGAGGAGAACTAGACAGAGAGAAAGAAGTAAACAAAGATGAGAAGAGAGGAGTAGAGGAGAAGAGAGGAGAGAGAAGTAGAGGAGAAGAGAGAGAAGAAGAAGAAAGAACTGACATGGCTTCGTCATTCGTCTCTGCCACTTGGGCTTCGTTGTTGCTCTCACAGTCTCACTCTTTCTATATTCGGTCTTGGTCTTTCTTATTTGTTTATTCTTTTGAACAAAAGATCCTTCTCTAATAAGCTTAGGCTTTCTTATTTGTTTATTGAAGTTGCCAAAAGTACCCTTTTTGGCTTAAGAGATAGAACAATCATTTAAAAAAAAAAAACAAAAAACAGTGAGGCACGCCTAGACAAATAGGACGAGGCACAACTGAGGTGCGCTCCTAGTAAACATCAGCGAGCCTGGGATGACAACAGGTGCTAGACCTGCGCCTCGAGCCTAGGCGCGCCTTTAACAACACTGATTGAATTAATTGGAAAGGATATATATTTATTCCTCCAACAGAAATAACCCAAAGCTCTATTTAACGTAAGGCAGTACCTTGAAGCTGAGGCAGGGTTGTCAGCCTCTTCAACCTTTTGGATTGAACTTAGGGTTGTCCTTCGACCTGACCAATCATCCCTATTCTAGTGCTAAACTCAAGCATCCATGAATTAGTTCGAGGTCTCCAACACAGAGACTTTAAAATGAAAATTTGCTTTGACTTGGTACCTGAAATTGTTTTCCTCATTCTCCAATCTTGTTAAAAATGGTAAAACAGTTTCTTGTTTCTTTAGTTGTTCTTGACTCTGGTCTTACTGTTACAGGTATCCAAGGGTGTAATGACCTGTGTAACTCAGGAAGTAAAAGATTTATACCATCTTTTGGAGCATGAGTTTCTCCCTATGGATCTTGCACTGAAGGTGCAGCCCTTGTTGACCAAAATCGCAAAACTCGGGGGTAAACTTTCTTCAGCATCTTCTGTACCAGAAGTGCAACTGTCTAAATGCATTCCTGCATTGGAAAAATTAGCCACCCTGAGATTACTTCAGCAGGTACAGAGTTGTGTTTTGGCTTCCTCTTAATGGTAATTATTATTAGTTTTTATCGTACATTATGTATACACGTTTTTCATTGTGCATGAAGCGTCTTTATTTTTTTTCAGGTGTCTCAGGTTTATCAGACAATCACGGTCTCCAGTTTATCTAAGATGATCCCCTTCTTTGATTTTTCTGCCGTGGAGAAGATTTCTGTTGATGCAGTGAAACACAATTTTGTTGTGATGAAAGTTGATCATATGAAGGGTGCTGTCATATTCGGTAATTTGGTAAGTTAATTTTATGTTTTATTCAGTCGCTTTGCTAAACAGAAATTGAAATCACTTGCCGATGCTATACGGATAGATGAAACATATTAAGAATTATTAATTGTGGATTATATGCTTTTTCTTCCTAATCTGATAAGCAAATAACAATTGCTGTTGCTGTAATTTTAAATTGTTAAAATAGCAATTCATATGGTGTGTTAGAATTTGGACTGGGGCTAAATGTAGTGGTAACCAAGTTCTGTCCTCACTAGCCCCTTATTATTTTTGGTGGATGGGGTAGGGATTAATGTCTAAATGTTCGCATTAGAGATGTACAAGAAGTATGTGGAAGTGAAATATATTAAAGTTCATTCTCATCAGCACCCCAAACCGTATTATGAATTCGTGTGCGATTTGCTCATGCTTCTCACCATATTTGGTAGAAATTTGGTTTTCAATGTGTTATAGATGGCTTTTTTGTTTTTCAGGGCCTTGAATCCGATGGTCTGCATGATCACCTGGCAGTTTTTGCTGAATCCTTGAACAGAGCAAGGGCAATGATATATCCTCCACTAAAGAGGGCATCTAAACTTGGTGATATGCTGCCAGATTTAGCAGAGATTGTGGATAAGGAGCACAAGAGACTTCTTGCTCGGAAATCGATTATTGAGAAACGCAAGGAAGAGCAAGAACGCCAACTTTTGGAAATGGTATTTGTGTTTAAACTCCCAGTAGATGGTCTCCCATTTGATGATAGTTTATTGTAGTCTGAGATTTTTTATTTATTTTTTGTAAAGGAACGGGAGGAGGAAACGAAAAGATTAAAGCTACAGAAAATCACTGAAGAAGCAGAGCAGAAAAGGCTTGCTTCTGAGTACGAGCAGAGGAAGAATCAAAGGATCCTAAGAGAGATAGAGGAGCGGGAGCTTGAAGAGGCAAAAGCTCTACTTGAAGAGGCTGAAAAGCGTACTAAAAGGAAGGGAAAGAAGCCTATCTTAGAGGGGGTGAGTAAAATTTTGGCATTATGCCATCTTTATCTGGGTTGAGAGATTTAATAATGACTGTTATATCCATGTATCCAGGAAAAAGTGACCAAGCAATCTTTGATGGAGTTGGCACTGAGTGAGCAACTGAGGGAGCGTCATGAAATGGAGAAGAAATTACAGAAACTAGCTAAAACAATGGATTACTTGGAAAGAGCAAAAAGAGAAGAGGCAGCTCCCTTGATTGAAGCTGCGTTTCAACAGAGGCTAGTCGAAGAAAAGGTGCTTCATGAACGTGAACAACAGGTATAGTTTGAAGTTATATAGTTTCTTTACTCGACAGTTATATGCATTTGAAAGAGTAGTCTTCTTTCCAAAAGTTCTTTATCTTTATCAAGTTTATTGAATAGTTCAGGGACCACCCATAATATTTAAATATGTGCATTTAAAATTTTCGATATCCCACCTCACTTCAATCCTGAATAAATAGTTGTCAAATTCTTCTCTGGAATGCGCATGGTTGCCTAGGGTCCTACTCATCCAACTAGTAGTTGCTTGACCCATGTTGGGCTATATGTACTTGTGTGTGTATTTATAACACTAGGCATACATCTTCCATTTGTCCAAGTTTGCTTCGATTTGGCTTTCTTCCAATATTCTTGAGTCACTAGGAATAATAACAAATCAGTAGATAATTAATAAAGCTTGTATTCAACGACTTTTATATTTCATTTCAGTTCAGTTCATTTCATTTTTATTTTTAAGACCTCAATCAACCAATTCTCAATCCTTGTTCATTGCTGGTACTACTTGTTACAGCATCTCAGTATTATGATCCTGCCTCTTTTTTTTAAATGCAAAAGTCCCAGTACCAGTGATTACAAATCTCCTTTTCCAAATAATATGTTGCATTTTAATGCAAGAATGCTATCTTTTGAATCTCGAGGCACTCTTCTTGCACCGAATGATTCCTTTGTGGTCTTTGACAAGTTTTGAAATTTTAGATAATATAAAATGTAAAAAATATGAGCACAAGTATCTGGGTAACTGGGTTTGGACTGTAGAGACTAAAGATGCATGTGAAATTCATGCTTTTGAGGGTGACACTTCCAATAAACAATCTATTTGTATTGCTTGGATTGTTCTGAAATCCTAATTTATTGAAAAGAATGTAAAATGTAAATTGATAATTGAATCATTTTAAAATTTATTAAAGGTGAGTGCCTAATATTGTTTCATGTTTCATTTTTATATTGTTTTTTTTTGGCACCTGGGTGATTTTTGTCTATTTGAGGATTTTATACATTCCACCTAAAAATTTTTGTGCTATAATTGTTATGATTTTGCGCTCCTCCTTATATATATACTTACTGTGGTTCACTTTGCTACTATGCAGCTAGAAGTTGAGCTAAGCAGACAGCGCCATGATGGAGACCTAAAGGAGAAGAATAGGATGTCCAGGATGTTGGACCAGAAGGTTGGTACCAATGTTGTGACTCATTCACATAATGTTTGGTGTGGTAGTATGTTTTATGTTAATTCCACGATTTCCATCAAAATCTCTTTTGTGTGTTTACAAGTGAGCCTACAGCATTCATCAAAATTCCTTTTCTTTTTGTTTCTTCCCATTTCTTATTATTCTTCGTCACCAGACTCACCAGAGATGGGTTGGCACTATAATTACTCACATGTCAATTTTCTTTTGCATTTTAATTAAGGTGAAGTTGATCATATGTTTTTGGCTTTTTGATTGAATCTAGACCTTCCTTTTTGGTTCTTAATGGAAAGCAGGTTATGAGTTGATTAAGTAACTCTGTCGGTTCTCAAGACAGCATTTTCAAAACAATTATTTCTTCAAAATTAAAAAATATATATATATTGTGGAAATGTATCTGCCTTTGGAAATTGAGCTGGAATATGGGACATTATATCATTTAAAGGATATATGCCATAATGAAGTGGGAGTGGAAATTTGTTGGACCATTTTCTGGACTACTTCCACCATAGGTTTGGGAAAAAAATGGTTTTCATCTTTTCATTTTGTCCCGATCTTGTTTGAGGTTTGCGATGTTTTTCTTTTGCTTTCTAGTCTCCACTAGTGCATGTTTTTTGTCGCCTTCAAATAATGGTTGAGCAATTATTATTATTATTTTTTTTGTGATTCTCTTATGCAGACTCAATTCCGGGAGAGAGTCATGAACCGTCGGCAATCGGAATACAACAGACTGAGAGCAGAGAGAGAGGAGCGGATGAACCAAATCCTTTTGCAGCGTAGGCATGAGAGGGAATACAAGAGGAAAATGCTGTTCTATTTGAGGACTGAAGAGGAAAGACAGATAAAGTTGCGTGAAGAGGAGGAAGCTCGCAAGCGTGAAGGTATTTTCTCGTTTTAAAACTCGTTTGGTCATAGATTTTTACCTTCATTAGAAAATGTTGTTGCAGAGTAGAGAATTTGATGCTAAAGTACTAGTAAACCCGAGACAAGGTTGAAAACCTTGCAAATCTGTTATATAACTGGTTTATTTTTTCTTGCAATGAAAGCTCAGATACCACGTGCTATTGTGTACAAAACAAATCATAACATGGATTAGAGGAATAAAAGGAAATAATAAATCTGAAATTTTATATGCCCAAATATGGATGGATCTTAGTTGCTCTGATACCAACTTGATTTACCACTGAATGTAGAAGCCATTTATTCTTCGAAGAATAAAACATTATATGACATATGAAGCTCAAAGATGAGTCCAGAGGAAACAGCAATCTGAAGTTTTATTCTTCAGAATGCATACCTGTGATTTTTAAAGTAATTTGGACACAGTACAATGAAACCCATCATAAACAGCCTGTTCTTGTCCTGTATTTATTTGTTCTATTACTTAAGCTAAATTATTAAATAACAAAGCACATATTTTTTTCTTTTAAAACCCAATGGATTTTTCTTAATGGTGGCTTGATTTTGTTGATATTTCAAAATTTGAAAATCAACACTATTTTGTCGTTTGGCCTTTTTGAACTAGGTTATTGTTTCACAACCTTAGGGTCTATTCAAAGTAATTCCTAATTTAAGATATTCAGTTACCTCATCCTCATTTCTTATCTAAACATTGGAAAACAATAATCAGTAATCACCTTTTAAAATTTATTTTCTAACAGTAATTCTATAATGTACTAAGTACTTCCTGTTTATGTGCTTTCAAAATGAGATTGCTTCCTGATTATTCCTTTCCAAGCTATGTCTGATGGTTGACGTTCCTGAATCTTGAATTATTGCTGTGATCTGGCCACTAAAATTTTACTTATTTTGTATTGATTATCCTTTGGCATTTTGGAACTTGCAGAGGCTGAAAGGCGAAGGAAAGAAGAAGCGGATCGTAGGGCGAAGTTGGATGAGATTGCTGAAAAGCAGAGGAAAAGAGAGCAGGAACTGGAAGAAAGAGAGAGGCAAAGGAAAGAAGCTCTCTTAGGAAGAATTGAGCCTCCTAGCGGGCCTCGTCCATTGGAGCCTGGAGTTGCTGCTCCAGCTGCTGCAGCTGCAGCACCTGCTGCTGCAGCAGCAGCACCATCCTCTGGAGCTGGAAAATATGTGCCCAAGTTCCGTCGTGAGCGGGTCGAAAGCTCAGGTCAGGCTCCACCTCCAGAACCTGACCGGTGGGGCAGCGGCCGACAGGATGATCGCACGTCCCAAACCAGTGATAGGTGGCAACGCGATGACCGTCGACCCTCATTTGGTGGCGGTAGTGGCTCAAGGTCTTCCTGGTCATCCTCCAGAGTCCCTCCACGCGGTTGAACGCTAGGTGGCTTGCTTGGATTCCGGTCATTTGAGTTATAAAGTGTATTTGTCAAATTGTGTCTGTGGTACCCGAGGAATCTTTCTTTTCCTAATTTTTGAGGATGGCATTGAAATTTGGCAGAGTTCTATATTGTGGTAAATCTTAGTATGGTTAGTTTGCCTTTGTCATCACTTTTCCAGATATAATGAATAATTCAGACAATGTGTTCGGAAACGCGAGTTATCGTGGCCAGGCAACTGCCGAGACTAGAGATTGTTTTTTGTTCGAATTTGATTTTTGTAGCTAAATTGTGTAGAGCTCAGTGCTTTATTACATTATAATGTTCTTATTGCAAATGTGTAGAGCTTAGTGCATTATTACATTATAATGTTCCTTTTGCATTGTAATTAAAGTGGTATTTCGCAACTAGGGAACTTGAAAAGCCTTCTATCAACATTGCCACGACATTGTGCTTGTGTGGGTTTGTTTATTCTTCACTTGTTTTGTACAATTTTGTTTGAACTCGCAATGATTTAAAATGTGTAGAAAGATTATTTCAAAAGGTTTCTGCAGTCTTGAACGTGCTTGTTTGAGGTTCAGTGAAAAAGAAGCACAAGATACTGCGTCTAACATGGTACCAAATTACAAGAATTTTGGTCCTTGAAAGTGATTAATCGAGTCGAGCTTTGATCATGATTACAATAAAATCAATCTTGATCATGATTATATGAAGTGAGAAAATCTCGTAAAACTAAATTACATCTGTGTTTTTTAACCTTAAATGCATAGTGTGTGCGCATTAGGTCTTTATGGTGGACTGTTATGGTTTACAGTGTGGACTGTTATAACAACTGCAAAGCCTTTAGTCCCATGTTGGATTCGGATGAAAAGTGAAATGAATCTAATAGCTTAAGGTTTTTTTTTTTTTTTTTGACATATTTAGTCCTTGATCACCCGGCTCCTAGGCGTGTGGGTGAGCACCCCTGGGTAGGCCGGGGGTGTATCAAGGACGAAGATTGGTTCTAACAGACCGGGTGCTTTATGATCTGTAATAAACAGTGTGTTTCATAATCTGATCTAAAATTCAAAAACTTAAGTTATTAAGTTGAACTAATATTCAACCCATTTATACTTATTTCACTTCCAGTATGAATCCTCTTGTGGGACAAGACTAACTAAATACGAGTAATTGAGTAAATAAATAAATAAAATGATTTGAAAACTAAAGGTTTTGATGAGACTAATGAGGTGTGGTATGGACCCTGGATTTGAATGTTTTGGGCCTGCTCCGGTCCGAATGAGGATCCTTATTCCCATTACTGGTTGGATAATCCGACCTCAGACTCAAATACCGTCTAAAACCCTTCTTCACCCCTATTTTACATTTGCGACTCTCTTCTTCAAACTTGTACGTTTTTAGCTGCTGACGATGAATTCACTGGTTGTGAGATACGCCAAGTTCGTGAGACTCTCACCTTCTATCAGACCCAACTCTTCGTTTGGTTTCTCTCTCTCTATATCTTATGGATTACTCTACCTTTATTTATTGGGTTTTTTCTGATTAATCAAATGATGATAGTCACAAGATCAATCACACCATTTTGATGTGTTCTTTTATGGGTTTGTGCTAATGTTTAATATATTGGTAATGGGTGCGGTTTCTTTTATATATGGGATAGTGTTTATTAGAGCAACTTTAATTAATGTGTGTTTGTGATGAAATCTAGTGGTGGGTGTCCGAAGAAGCTCAGAGTTTTGTTACTCAACTGCATCATTTGATGATGGCAATGATGCGGATGTTAATGTCGGTGAAGCTGAAATAAATGATGACGATTTTCTCCCTGAGAAGCCAGAATTACAACCCCAGGGCGTGGATCCCAGAAGGGGTTGGGGTTTTAGGGGCGTCCATAAGGTATTTGATATTAGTTCTGACTGAAGAAATTAACTTTGTGTTCTGTTAGATGCCCTTTTTTTGGAACTTGAACAGCTCCATTGTGTTTTACATGGTTTTAATCTATAATAGATGATCTGGAATGGGGCTATTGCTTTAAAAGGAGCTGTAACCTAAATGGTGGTGTAATCATTTTTATTGTTGTGGTTGTTATTATTATGTTTTTTGATTCCTGGAAATGATGTTTCAATATGCTATCTTAGTTTGTGATTATGGCTTAAACATGTTATTAGTTATATTCAAACTTACCCTTGAGCTACTGTTTTCTTGCTAAGAAAATAAGTGGAAAGAAAAGAAATTAAATTTACCTTGATCTGTTGCACAACAAATTTTTTATTTTTTGGCTGAGATTTTTGTTTTCTGAAGCCAAAAATACATTGTAGAAAAGAGAAAATCTTTTTGTTCTTGTCCTCAATTTTCTTTGCAACATTTTTATAGATGATCTAGAATAAGCTATTACTTTAAAAGGAGCAATGACCTAAATAATGGTAAAATCATTTTTATTTTTATTGTTGTTGTAGTATAATATTTTTGTTTTAAATATGTTACCGTAGTTTGTGAGTATGGCTTAAACATGTAATATTCAAACTTACCCTTGTGCTCCCATTTTCTTGCTAAGAAAATAAATGGAAAGAAAAGATATTTAATTTAATTTGGTTTATTGTTGTTGTTGTTATTGGTGAACTCGGATAAAGTAACCTTGATTTATTTATTCTTTTAGCTGAGAATTTTGTTTTTCTGAAACCAAAACTACATTGTAGTCAAGACATGATGCTTTCTGTTCTTGTCCTCAATTTTGGGTTTGTAAATTTCAGTTTCTACTGTATTACAGAAATTAAGAGTTTTATTTAACGGGTTAATGTTTGCTTTTATAGGCCATTATATGTGGCAAAATCGGCCAATCCCCTGTGCAGAAGATCTTGAGAAATGGTAGAACTGTAACCATCTTTACGGTTGGGACAGGGGGCATGTTTGATCAAAGAATTGTGGGAGCAAGAGACTTGCCGAAACCAGCTCAATGGCATCGAATTGCTGTGCATAATGAACAGCTAGGGGCTTATGCAGTTCAACAACTTGTCAAAAAGTATCCATCCACTTTTTTCCAAAAAAGATGGAATTTTTTTACTTTGTTTCTGTCTAATGCGTGGAGCTTTTCCTGCAGCTCTTCAGTTTATGTTGAGGGTGAAATTGAAACTAGAGTTTACAATGATAATATTAATGGCGATATTAAAAGTGTGCCAGAGGTTTGCGTGCGCCGTGACGGTATGTTAGCATGTAGTGCGTTACTTCTTTCTCGTCTTTTATTATTATGACAAGCCAGAAGGTCACGTTCTTTAGCTTGCAATGGATATATTCGATTTCTTTCTTGTTACCTTGCAAATTATCTGCAAAGCTGAAACTAGTTTATTTGATCTTTTGTAGAAGGAATTAGGCTTGTTTACCAATGAACCTAGGGTTATGTTTGGTATAGGACAAATTATGATTGAGGTTTCAATTTCAGTATGGTTAGAAAGTCTTCCCTTCTCCTTCCTGTTGTAATTGTCATTTGCCAACATATTGATCAAATTATTACTTATTGTTTGTTTGTTTTGAGTAATTTGTTTATTTATTTTTTCTGTTGTCATTATTTTTACAAAGTGTTGACATTATTTACATTTTCAATTTCCCCCTCCTCCTCCCGGCCCCCCCCAAGAAATTCATTAAGGTTTCTTGCTAACATAACACCACTTTCTTATGTGTTCCCTTTAGTGCTCTTCTTTTAACCCCTGGTTTTCTGCATGTTGTGCTTGTTTCTTTTTACATTTTTTTGGTCTCTTATACTTGTATTGTCATTGGATCCTGAAAGAAAAGTGTCCCATTGTTTTGCATTAATAAGTTATTTATGCTCATTAACAGGTAATTCTTCACCGAATAATTAATTATGTTAGGTCGCTAACCCTAAATGTTGAATACGTCAATTGTTAAATATATATTGTTGTGATCATCATTGCTTAGAGGAAAGCACTCCATTTTCTCAATGAGCTACATGGCAGCTTTAAATCTCATTATTCTGGTAATTCTCTTACAATAGCAACCAATCAAAATAAACTTAGTCAGTGAAAATTTTGTGAACTTTAGTAAAGAGAAGCAATTGAGCGAGAACATGTTAATATGATTCAAAAACATTAGTCTTTTTATTTTCTTTTTTCTTTTTGGTTTCCATTGATGGCTCCTGTTACTTGCTTAGATGTTGGTTTATGGATGCCACTTCTACCCCGGTGGCTTTTCTTATAAACCCTACTTATGGCTCTTGTTGCATGTCCCTATCAACAAATGTTGCTTCGGACACTGGTCAACATGATACCTCCATCAACTTGTGTGTGCCTTCTATGAGTGAGACTTGCAAAAGAGTTCATCTCAATTACCTTGAACAATCAATATATGCAGAAAAAGATGCATATGTTGACTGGGAAACCTATTATACTGTTTTATTGGGTTCCCCTGGCAGATGGGCAAAATAATAATGTACATGTTATGCTGCAAATCTTTAATCCCCCACATATAGCCATTTCTTTGGTTATTTGTTGGTAAATTTTCTATTTGACCTATTGGCCAAGTCACATGGATACTCATGTGTTCACATATTTTAGATACTTGTTAGATGTGTTGCCTTGCATGTTGTGGGAGACTTGGAGTCCTGTAATATATTTAATAGAGATATATAGATTTATCTTCCTTTAGGAAATATAAGAAAAACTATTTATCACTTTGGTTACAATGTATATTACAACATCTCATATGCTTGTACTTTTGCTTGAAATTTGTAGTTCGGGGTGTGTGTCATTAATTTGATAAAAATGAAGTTTGGATTGATTCTAAGTTAGTACTTGGATGGGTAGTTTACAAACTAATGGTTTTATAATAAAAAAGAATAAGCCGGTTACTTTAGTTCAATTAGTGAGGGTAATGACAGGAAAGGAAAATTTGAAGTTGCTTAGGAGAAACCCACAAGATCATCTTTTGTTATGATCAATTATTAACGAGGGATTAAAGAAAACAGTTGTCATTTTGAGGCTATTGTAAGGCTAGTCATGTATTAGTCAGAAGTTCAGGGTAGTGCCTAATAAGGACATGATGGGGGAAAATAAGATATTGTTCATGTCCAGTAAAGACCCAAACAGACTGAAGTTGGAGGTCTCACCGTCTCAGAAGGACAGCAGAAGGCCAAATATAGTGTGGGTTGAGGAGATGAGTACAAAATGTTGATTTGATGAGCTAGAGAAGAATTTGGCCCCATATAGAGCCGAACAGCAAAAAAGGATTGTCCTAACTGTTCTTTCAGGAAAATTTGAGTTTAAGTGTATGCTAAATTTCCTTTGGAGGGGATAAGAAGTACTCTCTTTCAAAGTATGATGTGTTACTTTTTATTATGTTTCTGATCAACCTGGTTGGTTACTGTTTATGAATTGGGTCACAAACATAGTGTCCTAGGTGCAAGATGTTCAGAGAAAACTCTGTAGAAGTTGATTTGTAGTATAACTAATGCAAATTTTGGGTGTTGATGCCGAAGACGGTTGTAAAAGGCGATAAAAAAAACTAAACCTTGTTGCATAAATAGAAGATAAATTAAAAAAAAAAAAAAAAAAACTATGATCACTAATTACCTGTTATTTTGCATGTTTCTCCTGCAGGGAGGATTCGTCTCATAAAATCAGGAGAGAGTGTCAGCAAGCTTTCCTTCGATGAGCTGCGTAAGTTTTCTTATTTTAATCTAAAAGTTATCACTGGAGGGGATTGTTTTCTCTTATAATCTTCATATTGGGCTAAAATGTGCCCATTTTTTGCTGCCAGGAGAGGGGCTGCTGTAGTAGAAATCAATTGGCACACATGAAAATCTAATTCTCGAATGGGGGACAGCAGCTGAAGAATCACATTTTCACCAGAAATATATATTTAGTTTGATTCGTAACCAGGCCAAGATGAATGTTATGGTATCTTGTTTTTATTTTATCTACTTGATTTTTCAGCGGGCATGTAGAAATTTATGTTCTGTCCTAGCTTAAAAGAGAACCTTACCTTGATTAATATGATCAGATGCTCGTTTTTCTCGTGTGCTTGTTCTCTTGGTATTATTTCTACAACTATAGATTTTGGTGCCAATCAGGTATCACTGCTTGTCAAACTTTGTGGAGCCTCGAGAAGCACTGTCGAGAGGAAGGTTGCGGTCTTGTTACTGATAATTTTGGTTAAATTTATAAGTGTCTTCCATTTTTGTTATGCTCATTCTTCCCTCAGAATGGTTACTGTACAACCAAGTTGAATTATTATTCCTTGTCACACTTGTGTGCATTCTACTGTGTAAAATTTTCTCTTCCTATTCTAAATTGTTTCAGGGGTATGTCACTCTTTTTAATATTTTTTAAAAAAAATTATCTAGGTTTTTTTTGTGCAGCCATTTTCATAAGAGACCAAAAGGAGAGAGTACTGTAAATTTGGTGTGAAGACATTACTTAAAATCATTCATTCCTGTGACAATACTTTTATGGTAGTTTTTCTCCCAGCTTTGTAATTAGACTCCTCCATAAGCACTACAAACTCTATAAAGTCAACTCAGCAAATTGTACATTCTGACATATAGGGGTGAAATTCAAAGCATTTCTTCCTTTAGTATTCCAAAATTTATGTGTGTTAGTGATCTGACATGCATCTGCATATAATTTGAGTCTGATGTTTGTAGCAGCTACTACATGTTATCTAACTTGGTTTACTGAATGATTTTAGAGGGTTTGGTTGCTCATAACTGGCAAGGGAAATCTTTGTTGAAAATCACTTATTATATAGGTTATATAATGATAATAATTATTTTTTATTTTTTTCTCTGGGGTTTGTTTAGTACTCACATACTTCACAAATTGTCCACCGCGAGAAAGTCACCTTTAATACTTTGTTATATGTGTCATCAATCGATTGTATCATGTTACACAAGTAAAAGTGTTTTATTTTGGTGGTCTTATCACTACATGACATTATTTAATAAGACGGTGATACCATGTTATCACTATAATCGGCTCAATTAAGTTTTTCTCGTTCATCATGGAGTTAAACCCCTTCTATCTTTTGAGGAGGAGGGGTATATAATCAGGATAATAATCTATTGGTACGAGAAAGATATTCCTGCATTGATGATACTAGGTCATATCTTGTGAGTATAAAATAGGATAATAGTCTATTGGTACAAGAAAGACATTCGGATACTAGACATTCCTACACTAATGATACTAAGTCATATCTTGTGGGTATAAAATGAAGATAATAGTCTATTGGTACAAGAAAGGCATTTCTGCACCGATGATACTAGGTCATATCTTGTCACATAAAGCATTTCTCCACATAGGTTATAAGTTTTCAAGTGATATGTATATATATATATATATATATATATATATATATATATATATATTATATGTATGTGTGTGTATCAAACAAACAAATGCAAGTGACATTGCTGATTTCCTTGGTGCCTAGTTGGAACAATTTTAGTGCACACAGCAATAAAATTTTGACACGACTTGGTCCAAGGTTTGCCATCCTCCAAACTGTATGATTGAAGTGTCTTTTTTATGGGCATTATTTATGTTCATGGCCTAAGAAACATTTGACACATCTACACATTAACGACCGACACACTTGTTTATTTAAGGTACACTCGCACTATCTTTACAACTTTTGATGAGACTGTCCTTTCCACTTATATCAACCTCAACAATTTTCTAGGGCTCAAAAGGTACAACCACTTGGGAATTGGGATGCCCTCTTTGCAAATGAAAAACCATAAACAAGTAAAGTGGGGGATTAGTGTGTGATTGATTGTAATTTATATTGTTTTGCCCCTAACACAACTTGGAAGAGAGAGAGGGTTGACCAATTTGCTTTGTTCTCTTCTTAAGAGCACTTGTGTGTTACTTTTCATATATTATGTTTCAAACTTTTTTAGTTGCTATTATTAGCCTATTATATTTTGAGTTTTAAGATTAATATGGTCAAAGTAGTAGAAATTATAACTCATTGCATTCGTCATTCTCCAATATGTGCATTAGGAAAATAATAAGAAAAGTAACGAAAACAAAAATATCTGCATATGTTCACTCATAATGACAAATGTGTCCTGAAAAGGATCATTATTGTGTATTAGTATTAGTTACGTGACAAATTGTATTTCACGTTGCGATTTTTCGAAGAAAATTTGTCTTCATTATTAATGGACATTATTTCAGATAACATGATCTCTTCTTTTTCTTTTTGTACGAAAAATTACGTTGTCTTGATATGAGTAATATTGTGAGTGTAGATTTGGCAATTTGGCAGCCACATGACGCACTCATGTGGGGACCCACCTACTCGGTTCATCTTGTCATTGTAAAAATCATTTTTCATTCTCCTGAGTTCTAAAGATAAACCAAGCTACTAAACTCCTAAAGTGAATTCTCATGGGCACACTTGCTTGATCTTAAGTCTAGATCCTATTCCAAACATGTATACATACTACATATATGTATATTATCAATTAGGATCATATGTTGTGCAATGGAGCCTGCAATTTTGTTCAGGAGGCACAATGCAATAAATTTTTTTTAAGGCAGGACAAATTTAATATTTTACAGAATTATACATAAAAGTTGGGAGGGGGGACAATGCAAAAAAAAAAATTTAAGGAAGGACAATTTTAAAATTTTAAAGAATTATACATACAAATATAAAAATGATTAAAAGTTGAGGGTGGGCAATTTTAACATTGTACATATAAAAATGTAATTTTTTAAAAGTTTAGGGGTCACCCCCAATAAAAAAATTCTAGGCAGGGCAATTTCAAAAGTTTAAAGAATTATACATACAAAATTGAAATTTTTTAAAAGTTGAGGGGGGACACAATGCAATTAAAAAATTTAAGGAAGGGAAATTTTAAAATTTTAAAGAATTATACATACAAAAATTAAAAAAAAAAATTAAAAATTGAGGGTGGGCAATTTTAATTTTTTTTAAAAGTTTAGGGGGACCCACTTAAGCCTTAACCGGCTCCGTTCTTATTTTGCACTGAACAATTTAATACACAAGAAAGGATGAAGAACACCTTACATGGAATGTAATCTCCACAAGTTGAGTAAATCTCACCCCATGTGAGAGATTTTCATCTTTTCATATGCACGGGATCGGCCATTGCATAAGAGAGGACCCTACTCGGTTCATTGTAAGTGCAGAGTGTCTTTTCATTATGAATTCTGCTGAGAAAAATTCTTACTGGCATTCCATCAAGGGGAGAAAAGAGGGAGGAGAAAGGAAAAGAATTACTGATCCTTTACAAAATCCTAGGAATCATCATTAAATCATGTTAAAAGGCAGGGGAGAAATAAATCCATTTTAATAATCACCTGACTGAAACACTTGTTATAATGTAAACCAAAGTGGCTAATTAGCTTCAAAATTCATGGGAGTGGCTTCTACTCTTATAACTATTTTATTCCCTATTTAAGACCTACAAATGAAATAAGACACATGTATCTAGTCAGATTTAGAAATGTATCTGGCCACATTTAGGATGAGAATGAACTTAACAGGTTTGCACTCAGACAACAATTCAACAGAATAATAATCTTCTTATTGGGTAGTGCTACATACTTACCTATTTATACGTTTTTTACTTTACATTCGGATTCGATGTGGAACAAATACCCTTTCCCCCACCCAAACTCGCAACCCCTTCGTTGCGGTCAGGCCACCCTGCCTATCCGGGTGACTTACCCGGACGCTTTCTGAGACAGGTGCTTGGCGTGGTACCGGATCAAAGATTGAGTCTAACTCTAATATTAACTGTAATGAGTGAGAGCTTGCCCATTTATCAAAAAGCTTAAGTTATTGAATAGTGTTATATACCCGCCCATTGATCCGATGTGAGACCCTTGTAACACCTATCCAGATACTGAAAGTATGACTTTTGTTTGGGTCCCATATGAATGATCTAATGAATAGAGAGGCATTCGGTTCCATTCGATTAAAACCATAATAGAACTCTTTTACTATATAATAATTTATAAATTTAAAGATTAACAAAGGTTAGGTACGTTGCCATAATATTCTTTTGTATTATAACTTCTATGATTTCCTATATATAGGCATCTAACTCTTGGACATTCTTGCGTCTTTGTGTTGTATCTTCATGTTCTATTCCTATAAATAGGCATCTAAAATCTTGGTTATTCTTACTTTGTGGTGTTTCTTCATGTTCTAAACTATAAATAGGCATCTAACTGTTGGCTATTCTTGCTTCTTTGTGGTGTTTCTTCATGTTCTAACCATGAACATGTTTGTTATGATTTTTCTTTCCATCATTTCACTAATCTGCGTCTCGTCGCTAGAAGCTTGCCCTAAATGTGGCAACATGGATGTTCCATACCCCCTTAGCACCGACGAAAGCTGTGGAAACCCTAAGTACAGAGTCTACTGCAACAATGGCAACCTAGAATTCTTATCAGCCACAGGATTTTACTACAAAATCCTCAGCACCAATCCAAGTGCTTATAAGCTCATTATAAGCCCACCCTCGATACAAGAAAACACTTGCCAGTCTTCTGATCTCACTTTAGGAGGCCTCAGCCTAGATGAGGAGTCTCCCTTCAACATTTCTACTCGCAACACTGTCATGTTACTGAACTGCTCTAAAAACATTCTCTTGTCGCCATTAAATTGTTCTTCGAACAGCCTTTGCAGGCTCTTTGAAGACAAGGTAGTAATGGGTAGAGGTTGTAAGAACACACTATGCTGCACTTACCTTAAAGATGCATCCATGACTTCGCATAGAATCAGGATCAGGGTTGGAGGCTGCAGTGCTTACACATCTATCGTGGACATCAAGTCGGAGTCACCTGAATCTTGGAACTATGGCGTCGAGCTGCAATGGTTGCCTCCTAACTGAGACTGGCCGTGATGTTGCGGTAGGGAAAAGGTGCCTCCATTGGGAGGAATGGAATAACACTTTGTTTCTTTTTCTTGTTAGCTTTTCTGTTATCTGTTCCTGCAACTATCAAAGAGGTTCATGATAAGCAGGCTTTGGTTGATCCACTGATCACCAAACAGCTTTTGAAGAGTGTTTGACCTTGTACAACCTCTCCACTTGAATTTAATAACAAGGCACAGATTAAATATTTCAGTGTAAAATATCATAGGAATATCTGAAATTTGGAGATTAGCTTACATCCTTTATGTGGTAAGTTGGTAACATGAAATGGGGTATCACTACATAATACTTTCTATAAGCATCCAAAGAAATCATTATTTTTGCCAAAAACATAACTGACCATACTTAGAAAACAAGATAGATTTAACTTTTCTACTAAACCAATTCAAGTAGACATCCAGATGCCGCATACAATGTACTGAACTAAGTGACACATAATAGAGTATGAAGATACAAATGATTTTTATCCGTTCTTTCTTTCTTTTTTTCTTTTTCTAACAAAAATTTAAAAAAATAAAAAATTGTTGCAAATAAATCAACACTCGTATAAACAAATCGAAACCGTCAATGGGACACCAGAAATCTCAGGGATCACCCACTGGAGAAAATACAGGCAACTAGAGTATTGCCACTTCACATATGAACACCTCTCTCTCTCTATACCTAACTAATTCACATGGGGAAAAACGAAAGAAAAAGACCAACACAAAACACTTCCCTCAACACCCCATAACAGCATATCTCACTACTTCCCATTCGCTACTTTCCGCTTTCCATCAACAGAAGCCGAACGCTTTATAGTCTTTTGCAACGGTGAACTACCAGTGGATTGTCTCCGTGATGGTGGTGCTGGAATCAAACTCCTGTTGACAACAAAATAATTCACATTCAGAGCACTGCTGGAATGTAGCAGAATGACAAAGTTAAAGAGCAATAAGTGCAAGCCTGCGAATAGAATAATTATTCTTTGTCACCAAATTTTCCCTTCATCAATTCAATTCACCCAACTGGATGAATGGTTCTAAATGGTTCCTTATTATATTATGGAAAGTTTGCCAAATAGTGAAATGGAATGTTCGAAAGAAGAAAATCAGCAAAGAAAAAAGAAAGTTTATGATGGTTACAGATCATAGTACCTTATTTCTGGGATTTTTGTTTGCTTTGCGTTAGGTCTCTTAATTTTTGATCCCAGTCCATTCGGTATGTTGCTGACTTTGGGAACATTTAATTGCCAAAGAAAGTCTGGCTCAGATGAATCACTAGTTGCAGCCTCAAAGTCATCGGACTCATCCGTGGTTGCTGTCTCATACCGATTCCTTTGTGCTTCATAGTCTTGGCTGTCTTTTCTATTGGCTGAAAGTTTGTTAAAGGATTGTTCAGGGTATATCTTTGATGGGTCGGAGGCAAATCTCTGATAAAACATCTCAGGCAATTGTCTGTTTTCTTCTACCCAACGTCCTGGTGAAATTTCATCTCTACCTACCCCGTCTTGCTTGTTTACCATGACTTTATCAACCCAATTACCAGAACCCACTTCTTTCTCGTCTTCCTTTAACCCAGGGCTGTCAATGGGTGGCCAAGGAGGTGATTCCGTCAACAAGTCAAGATCTAAGCTTCTTTGCCTTCCCAACTTCCTAGTCTGCAGGCCAGAAGAGAAGAGTCGAACTCTGGTTAAATTGATTCTATTATATCCCAAACACTTGATTTTCAGACAACACAAAAATAAAGCCAATCTGTTTTTTCATTTTAAACCTTCTACTTGGCATTTAATGACTTCTTCTTCTTCTTTTTATTTCTCATTTTTATTTGCCATCATATAATAAATTAGTAACTTCCTCTAATAACAGAAATTCAATTCATTTCAGAGAACCAAATTGTTTCAAATAAATTATAATCTAATTTTCATTTTTCTTTTTTGATGACTCCAATTTCTGAAACAATCCCCTTGTCCTATCCAATTCGCTACAAGTTCAATTCAATTATTATGAATCCACTTTAATAACCAAGGTTATGGTGCTTGGGAGACATTGCCAATCTGTTTGGGGAAACAGATACTTCACTGAAGCATAATTATCAGAGACTTTGTTATGAGTTAAGCATACCTCTGCTGTACCAACATCACTCAGCCTCCGACTGTCTGACCCAGGAGACTTTGCTGTCACTCTTTCAGGGCTGCTGAATCTGGATTGCTGGTACTCTGCTTCTCCGTCCTTCCTTGCCAAGGCTGCCTTAAGACTAGCAATCTGGAAGCACATCATAAGTGAAAACAGCAATTAATTAAACAAAATGGAAGAGACCAGATAGGTAAAAGATAAGTGCTTCCTAAAGTAAACAGTCCGATTATGAAAGCAACAGGCATCCTCAAGTAACATGGATATAAAGAGTGTAAAAACCTGTTCCTTCAGCTCCTTGACATCTGCACTATCTTTGTTAGCCCGAGCAGCACCCAGCTCAACAGTTGAAACTCGTTCAGCAAATTTAAGTGTACTAATTGTTTCTCCAATAGCATCAAACTCAGGACTTACGTGAACGAACATTAGAGTCTTGGCTTGCCCTCCTAATAAAATATAAGAGCCAAAAACCTAATTACATAAAAAAATAAAAAAATAAAAGAAAGAAAAGAAAAGAAAGAAAGAAAGAGAATTTTCTACAGCCAGAGGATATTTAATCTTACCAAGTGAATCTTGGAGCAATTGTGTGAGTTTACTGTTTCTATAGGGAACATGAGAATTTTTCTGGGCAAGAGAAGATATAACATCTCCTAGAGCAGAAAGAGACTTGTTAATATGTTGCGCCTCCTTTAATCTATCTCCTACTGCCTCAGATTTATCAACTCTTTCACTTCCTGCCAGGTCAACCAGATGCATACAACCACGAAGAATTGTTCCAGATGTCAGATCTCTTCCTTGAACATGAACCATCAAGCAACTGCAGTTAAAATATACAATTGCACTAGAAGATTAGAAAACTGCTGATATGGTCTCAAAATCATAATTGCAAAATATTATAATTGGGTTACATAAAATTGTGAAAAATTCAGTAAATTATATTTATTTCTGATATTTTGTACCTGTGAGAACGACTACTACGATCATTCATGGCTGTAGCACCGACTGCACGATTTTTATGCCCTAGATTCATTAAATTAATAACATCTGATGTTGATGAAACCGGTATAAGGTTTGCATCTGGTACATTTATTCCGTTCTGAGAGCTGTTACGAATTTCTAATGTGCGTACGAGTTAAGAACACAAATATAATGTAGTTGGATTGAACAAAACAAGCTAAGGTGAGTGAATAAACAACCATTATATTCAGGAAAAAAAAATAAACAACCAATATAAAGGATATCTTTTTTGAGAACCATCTATCACAAGCAGATCCCTAACTTGCTCATTGTAGATCTCAATCATCTGAACGGAAACATCATACAAAAAAGTGTCCTTTCTCTGTTCTGAGATTAGAAATAAATCGCTCAATGCCCTGTAGTTTACACCTAGGCCCTCCTGTGTAATCACTCCAGGTCCAGTCTGCGTATAAAAATAGTCAAAATGGCAAAAAGGAAGGTCATTAAAAATGACCATAAATCTATTAATGTTAAAAAGCATTTAATGTATGGATTCATCATTGTGAGTGTAGCAAACCATGTATGGAATCTCTTACCATAGTATAAGTCTTCCCTGATCCTGTTTGGCCATATGCAAATATACAAACATTGTAACCATCAAGGACCGAACGAATCAAAGGCCGAGTGTCTGAAAATACCTCTTCTGCAGGAGGGAAAAAAAAAAAAAAATGTGGTCTAAAATATTGCTGACATGTGGGGGATTTATAAGAAGAAGAATAACTACAATGGGGACCTTAGCGACCTTGAGTTGCAGATGCACCAAAAACTTTGTTGAATGTGAACGATTTCCGGCCCTCTTTTCCATATTTTGAAGGAGTGAGAATTGTAATGTTCCCTTCATCTACATGATCCACACTGCTCAAACGATTTGGTTGCCCAGGCAAGAAAGGTCGCACTCGGCAGTACACCCTAATATTTCCTATTTAAACATAAGCAAGTAATTATTCAGTGTCATTAAAAATCCTAAGAACAATTTCTTACGTTAGCTAGCTTTAAGCCTTCACTGTCATTACATAACCCAACAACCACCCGTTATAGTTAGCTTTAAGTCACTGACAGTATTACCTTTGAGGTCTTGCACTTGATTGTATAACTTGCGGTTTTCTTCAAGGACACTGTGGTATCCTGAAGCAGCATGAGCTAGACCATGCAAATGTTTACCTATTAAAAATTGCAAGGGATTAGATTATTATTTCATGTTTGTAATCTCCATAAATGTGCAACAATTTGATCTGAAACTAACCAAGATTATTGACCTCTTCTTGATAAGTGTTTTGCAAATTCTGGATACCTACTTTTGCATTATGAAGAGTATGTTTCAATTCCTACAAAATATGAACATTAATTCACAATTACACTCATATGCAAGTTAGTTAAACACATAGTAGTCCAATAATTACTCAATTACCTGTATATCTTTATGTTGTTGTTCAACCAGCATCCGCTGTTTCAAAACCTGGTGTGTTGATTGCTCATCATGAATATCCTTTTTATTGCAGCATTCATCTTTTACTATCTTTGTGGTTGCTTCATCTTCCATCTTAACCATTACATCAGTAGAGGAATATGTCACTAGATTGCATTCAAGAACTATAGACAAAATTGAGATGCTTTGTGCAAAATGGACTAAACTGTACAATTTATTTGTTCTATCTGAACTTTCTAAAAAAATGAAAACCATACATTTATTTCCCCAGAATCAGATATTGGGACACATTTGTTAGGGCCAGAGGTATCCATGTCTCCTAGAGTAGCTTTCATCTGTCAAATCACCAAAAAGATGTTAGATATAATGAAAAGCTCAATAGAAAAATTAACCACCTATCATTTGAAACTTTTCTACTCTAAAGACAAGACACTCATGTTATACGTCAAACCAAAAACATGGTAGAAAGGAAGCTGATTACCTCATTTTGGCCTGCTAAGCGGCGTTCAAATTCCTCCATAACTTTGCTGAGCATATTCTCCACAATCTGTTACAAACAACAAAGTAACATGTTTTCTCAGAACGAAAAATAGAATGCACTGGTCAAAGAAGGATGAGAATCTATCCATCAGTGATATAGTGATAATTTAACCAAGATATAATCAAACGTTCTATAGAAAGTTCCTTCGGTTATTATTACTCACTAAGTCAACAAATGTCAAAATATGATCCCCTTGTTTGCTGTGTATAAGCTTACCCCAACTCCTCATCACTTACAGCAGTTGGCTGAGGTATTCAGGTAAGATATTTTACTTAGTGCAACAAGCATAAGGAAACTTACACTAGGAATTTCTTCTTGCTTCTTTTCTGAAAGAAGCTCACGGACAAGCATATGCAAGGAACGGGTGTTACCCTGCAATTTAAAATGCAAACAGTAGTTTAAAGAGACGATTTTCAATAACGTCAAAGACTAGAATAACTCTCAAATGGTAAAGCTCTCTTACCATTTCATTGACATCCTCGTTAGACAAACTATCCAGAGACCTCTCACTTGACAAGTTCTTTGAAAAGGAATTCATGAATGGTTCAGAATTTTTCCGTACAAAATGCTTCCCAGAGCTGGTGAATTTCATATTTCCGCTATATTTCCACATACCACTTCCACCTCCTTGTTTCCAGTCGTGATATGATTTCAGTGCAAGTACACAGTTCACAATCCTTGAAGATTTTCCTCCCTGAAAATTCAGAATATGGAAGCTCAATTCCCCATTCATCATTTTAGGCAAAATTTTGTAATTGAAATAGATCAAAATACTTCTGCCAGTACCGAATTACCACACATCTCTACTACCTGTTCCAAATCAGAGGCTTCAAAGGTTGGCAGTCCCATTTCCTCCACAGCCACAAGGAAGTTCCTTACATTTTCAAAGTATTGGTATGCAGACAGAGCTGCCCCATCAGGAACAATAACAGAATCACAAGGAGCTTCGACTACCTAAGCAAAATGGAAACTAAGAGCATTAAAAGAAAAGACATATGATAAAGAAGAAGCAATAACAGCAACAAATTAAATAAAATAAAATCAAGAACTGAAATGAACCGTACTTTTGGCACAGCGCCAGGCTGAATCTTGTTGAGAACATTACAAAGGATTATTCCGCTTCGCAACCCAAGCCTGAAATCTTCTTCTGAAGGCTCAGCTGGCAAATCTTTACCCCCAACAACTCCAACCATCTTTCTTAGCCACCCAGCCACTTCATATCTTCTTATGGCTGCAAAACAACATCCCAACATAATTCTTTCAAACAAAATCAAGGCAAGAAAAGGAAAAACTTCACCTAGCAGCATAAAACTGACAAAAAAGAGATGCATTGCACTGAAATGGTCTCCAATTAACTCATAGAATTCGATATTATGAAAGAAAATGAAGAGTATTTATCTTTTCAAATTAAACAGAAAAGACCCCGCTTCATATGATACTCTGATCTCTTTTAAAGGCCACTGTCTATCAAGAATGCAATAATAAAGATAATTTATGGATTGGGGATGAACTCCTTCAACGTCATTGTACAATTCAAACAACTCCCAGTTCAGGAAGCTTTGAGAAATTCATATAAAAGCATCAGAAGGATATAATTGATTAAATTGTGTGCGTATATATATAATACCAAACAAGATTCAGTCGAATTCAGGAAACCAATAGATAAATGTCACATACTAATCATTGTGGACTAGAAATCACAAATTCAAATCAAAATTCAGATATATATAAAAATCAAATTATCGAAAATTCAAGAACAAATTTCAAAATAATGGAGAAAAAAAAGATCGTACAAGCTTCCTGAACCCTCCTAGACGCCATATCGAGGTCGTTCAAGCGCTTTCCATGCTGCCGAAGAACATCCTCAAGAACAGACGCCACAGAAAACGATAAAATACCCTCCGTCGCCATAAGACCACCGCCGAAAAGCAGAGGAACAAAACTGACCGTTAAACAATTGAAATTGAAATTCAATATTTCACCATCTGTGTTAAAAGAGTCTTCCAAATTCAAGCAAGTGTACCAATTTGAATACAATTCTCAAAAGAAAGAGAATGTACGTGTGTGTGTATATATATATACACTATATAGTTACAGATATACACAAAGAGGGCTAGGGTTTGATGGCAAGATCTATTGAGAAAGTAGAGAGAGAGAGAGAAATGGTGGGGAACTATAGAGAGAGGAGAGAGAAACAAATGGTGTTTGGATCTTTTTTCGTCACACTCTCTCCTCCGCCATAGCCTTTCTTTTTACCTCTCTGTATCTTTATCAACTCTCTCTCTCTCTCTCTCTAAATCTATACAACGAAGCAGGTTCCGAACCTCTCGGCTCGGACCCCTGACGGTTTGTATTCGACGGCTGAGAAAAAACTACTAGTGGCTAATTTTACATGTTCTTATTCTTTATTCCGAAATTGCCCCTGCTTTATATGAGTTGTGATTAATCAATTTCTTTAGAAAAATATACTTATATGTTGTTTTGGTTAAAATATTAAATATATATATTTTTTTGGCAAAATGAAATTTGTCGGGATCTGACTATAAAAATATATATATATATATATATCATGATGAGTTTAAGTTCATAGATTGGTATATTTCTTGGCAACTTATCATAATAAAAAGAAAAATGTTATAGATTCGTTCTCAAAATGTTTTTATAATAGTGATATTGGTGTCATTATATTTATGTGGTATACTGGTATTTATATATATATATATATATATATTGACCACCAATCTAATAAATTGCGCCCACGAAAAAAGAAAAAGAATGCTCTGCTATGTGTTTTATTATGGTTGCAGGGTTGCACCAAACACTGAAAAAAGAGGGAAACAATTTTGAAAAGTATTTGCGGGGCAAAAGAAAAAGTCAATTAATTTTAGATAGACTTGTATTTTATAGCTTTTGATGGTGTATTCAAAATCTAATTACATGATTATCGTGTCTTCAAGCTATTTTGAAGTTGTAGATATAAGGTACTATAAAATTAACTATTTATTTTATTTAGGGTTAAAATTATAAAACTTTCATTATTTTTAAATTTTGATCATAAAATTTTAATCTGTTTCAAAAAATCCCTATATTTTTAAAAAGTGATCCCCAATATCCGTATTCGACCCGGGACTATGAAATAACAAATTTAACCTTATTATTTAATGTTAAATTAAAAACTAAAAATTATTTTTTAAAATTACAAAAATACCCTTTAATCTTTTTCTTCACCTCTCACACCCCCTCTTTTTTTTTTTTTTTTTAGTTGGTACTCACACACACGTCTCTTCTGAGACTTGAACTCTTAACCTCCCTTTGGAAAGTAAGAGACCGATACCGCTAAGCCACTGACTCGTTGGTCTCCCTCTCTCTCTCTCAAACATAACTTTTGTAACTTAATTTTAAAAAATAATTTTTAATTTTTAATTTAACATTAAATAATAAGATTAAATTTGTCATTTTATAATCCGATTCAAGAGTCGGATACAGATATTGGAACAATGTGATCATTTTTTAAAAGTGTATAGGTTTTTAAAACAAGTTAAAATTTTATGATTAAAATTTGAAAGTATGAAAGGTTTTATGATTTTAACCCTTTTATTTAGCTATTGATCTATGCTTTTCTTTTCTCTTTTTACACGTAATAACAAACACATCAAGACTTAAAATATTTCTAATAACATAAGTCATACCTATACAAAAATGTTACTTCAATTTTATATGTATATTTTGAAGTCAGAAGTTTATGCTAATGAGCTTGAACTCTTAACATCTCTCAATTAGATTCCTTAGTAATTATATCTAATCATTAAGGATAATTATAACTAATCATGAAAAGGTTAGATAAAACTTACATGCATTGTAGGGATAATTACTTATACTTCACCAAATCATAAACTAAATTTCTTTAAAATTTATCTTTTGTCTGTTCAATCATATATTTATAAAGTAAACTTAATAGGGAGACGATATTAACAATCTCTTTTTAACCAAAGAAAAATGATTTGTTTCATCAAACAGAAGTGCTTGGTTGAACAATTCTTATATGTTGATATAGGGAATTCGTGTAGGTCCCTTTATGTTGCATCTAACAATTTTATTGACATAGACAACTGTAATGCTAGATTATGTATCATAACTCTTAACCAAATGCATTCCTCTTTTAAAGTAAAATCACAACGATTTTATTGACACGGACTACTGAAATGTTAGGTTATGTATCATAAGATGCATTCCACTTTTAAAGTAGTTCCAAACCTTTAAACAAGAAAACTTTTATCACCCTTAATCGGATACATTAGAGGTATATTTGTCATTTATTTCAAATAATAATAATAATAATAATTAATAATGAGTTTATCCGGTTAAAAAGAGAGTGCATTTATCACCATCAATCGATATTGTCTAGTCCATTAACCTACTTCTTCTTTTTTTATTTGATAATATATCATAATAAAAGTCTAGTTTTTGGGAGAAAAAAAGTCTATTTATATATATATATATATATATATATATATATATATATATATATATAATTGTGATGTTTTGATAAGGCAACTTTACTCTCCGATTAAATTGATTTTTGACATGCATGCTAAAAATGAAATAGACATTCTATAAAATTAATTGTTAAAAATTTATGGGTTTAAGTAAATTTTATTGATGGATATAAACTTAAATTTTAAACTAAGCTATTAAAAGGGCACCGACATGTGCCTACAATGAGTTCCATATTAATTTTTACATGTGAATTTCAACAAACTACTTTTTGATTTTATATAATTTCTCTCATTGGCTACAAAAGTAGTTAAAGCCAAGCAATCAAAGCAACCACTTCAAGAGGGAAAAAAAAAAATGGTTGCACTTACCACTGAAGGAATTTCTTGGTGTAACCTGCAATTTTTCATTTATTTTCTTTTTAATTTCTTTTATAAGAAGAGTAACGAAATTTTTTCAAATGATCCCGATTAATAAAATTCGTGTGACAGATATGGATCTCATCATATGATGTGAAATTACCGCTCACATAACCTTCTTTCAGAATCTTTCGAATCCGAAAGATGTACTATTTTCTTTACAAGAATGCACTTAATTAATTCAGGGAAAAAAAAAATGAATGCACTTAATCCCAAAGTTGGAATAATTTATATTTGAATTCTCATAGGTAGTGCATGCATTCTTAATTATTAGATTTCGATCATCATGATTTACATAACTTAATAGATACAAACTTTATAATTGAAAAATCATATATTTAGAACAACTTTGACTAACAATAAAATGTAAATTAATATATAATAAATAAAAATACATAATTAAAATTAACAATAAATGGAAATAGAGTTCAATATATAAGAGCTGGATGATAGAGATGCACATATAAACATGTCCTAAAGCTTATGGTGAAGTTTATATTTAAGGAGTGTTGCTACTCCACCCAACTAGAAAACAACCGACAAAAACCGACTCATAAAATTACTTTACGTTCCTTTCCTCTTTTCTTTTCTTTTTTTCACCGGCTTCAATTATTTTCCACCAAAGCAATCGGAGACCTTTGGTTGGAATCCAATTACGAATCCGACGATATCATGGGAATAACATTTTGTTTGTTCAGAGTCTTCAGACCCGCTGCCCTTCGTCCTCTCCAACTCCGTTGCCGAAGTTGAGTAGTCGATGCCGTTCAGACCCACCGGTAAGAAAATCCCGTCGCCACCGTTCGTTCTCACTACAGTTTAGTCACGCCATTCTGACATTGGAACTGCGTCCTTGAATCGCTAGTGTAGTTCCTCCTTGCCTTCACCGGGCTCTTTTCTCGAAGTTCAGTTCATCACCGGCCTCGTCATAGTTTAGTAGTGCCGTTTCTGCATTTCAGTCCACTACCGTCGCCGAAAAACACGTGAAGAAAGAGAGGGGTGGGTTTTGCAATGGAGTGAGAGGGAAGGGTTATGCGCAGAGGAAGGGAGAGAGTGTTGTGGGCAAATAGTTTTTTGTTGGTCGAGATTTACTTGTCAAAAATAATATTTTCCATATTAAAGTCTATATGTCAACTCGTAAAATAATAAAGTATCTATGCTTTACATCTATGTGTAGCATAAATACTTTATTATTTTACGAGATATATATATATATATATATATATATATAACACTAAGTAAAGTGGAGAAGGAAAATAGAGTATATTAGTAAAGCCTTTGAGAGGTGGAGACCACCTTTTTTTCTTTTTCTTTTTTAATCATGATGCTAATAAAAATAATAATAATTCTCATTAAAAACCCACCATAAATAATCATTTATAATTTTATTGAAATATGTCTAACATTCTTTATATCTAAATTAATGTAAAGTGGAGTTAAATCTAAGTTACCCTCACACAAAATGGTCGGTGCATACATTAAAACAAAAAATAGAAGTGTACAAGTACTAGGGTTGGTTAGTGGCTCAGATTGAATGTGAATAAAATACAGTGGTGTCTATATATATACCTCTCAATTGGATACATTCATATAATTATTTCATATAAATTCAAAGATTTATTTGGCTTTATTGTGAATCACTCCAAGCATGCCAAAGATAAAGGTACGTGTATTATAAGTTAAATTGTTGATTTATGACCATTAATTGGGTAATTGCATGTATATACTTCCATTTTATAACTTTCTCCAAATATGATTTTATTTCACTGTCCAAATATAGCTATTGTTTTCTGTACATTTTTATGTTATTTTTACTTATTTGAACTTATGAAATAATATTATCTTTGAAATTTATGCCAAATTATAAGTAAAAAAAGATACAAATTACATAATTTTATGCAATTAATTATTTCGTCCCCAATCTGTACGTGATTGAATCAGGATCCTCTCCTATTTATCTTACGTCTGCCACACAATTATATCACAAAATGCAATAACAATATAACAATTCATGTAATAAAATACATAATGTTGCAATGTTTTAATACTATTAAATCAAAATTTTAACATACTTACATAATTATTGTATTATCGATTTAAAGTTGTTGCATATTTAAATTTATTGCATTACGATGTCAAATTGTTACATTAGATACAGAGATGATGGATAGGATACCGGATTAGGTTATGCTATTACACAAACAAAAGGTGTACGTTTATTAGGAGGAGAAGATCGCAGATTTGATATTAAATCAATAGATTTCGTAGTGATTTGATTTGAAAGTTTTATCTCAGCACAACTAATTTTAATGGGTGTTCTTGTTTGTATCTATAATTAAA